GCTATTTAAATGCAATTAGAAGAATTACAAAAATAGTGTACAAAAATTTTGCAAGAAAAGCAATTTCCCAAATCAAGCTCTAAATGCCCACGAATTGAAACTATAAATATGATAATTATTTAAAAAAATATTCTCAAATTACAGGTAAGCTATGATATGACGCTTACCTTTCTCATCTTTCTATATCCAATCTATCTACTTCTGCTTATTATTCCTAAAGACGTACATACTCACTGAACATAAATACAAATAATCTGATAATAATGAATACCGAAATGAACACTCAACACAAAAGCTGTATTGTCATTCCACAACAGTAAAACAAACATAAAACAAAAATGGCTTATTCCCGCTCGTCGCCGCCGACGACGCCCTGTCTCGTCTGTTCGCGGTCTTTCATTTTACCCGTCATAAGTCGTCTCGCCCTCGGATACCTACATATATGCACACACCGCAACTTTCAACTGAAACATCTCTCATGAGAGTGAAAAATTTGGAAAATAGGTATTTGTCCTCTGCGTGTGCATGATATTTCGTATGTATGAGTAATTTACGAACTACCTCACTCATGATAAATTACTAGACCGTATAGGTTTAGTATTTTCATGAATATATTTTTATATAATAAAATTTTACTTTCTAAACTTTTAAAGTAATTTACTTTACACGTCTAGTGCATGCTAAGTAATACCAATCTACTTAATATGTTAATATAATTTTCGTTGGATGTATATTCGCGTCCTTTTTTTCGTTCTATATCCTATTCCACATCTGCTCGGAAAATGATAAAAAAATGATAAAATGATGTACACTCTTCCCTCGAAAAAAAGGGAGAGAGTGCATCAAGCGGAAGATAGTTTTATATTGTTGAATAATAACTATCATGAGCCACACTATAATGTAACTATTTATGTCGGCTTTACTCGTGTTTTAATTTGAACCGTACTCATGAATAAGTGCTCCTATTGACTTCGAATTTGTCGGAAAACTCCGAATTTAAAACGTGACTAACACCGACATAAATAACTACAATACAATTTTGTATGGAAAAGTATTAGTATAATACTACTGTAACGGCAGTTATACTAAAATCCATTTTTGGATTTTTCCAATCCAGGTTGGATCTTTTTTTCATATTTCAATCGGTGATTAGCTATGATTGCGCACCAAAACTAATATAAAATTATATAGATATCTGCATCAAGACCACTTCCACTTCCAACAAAAAGTTTATATGACATCTATGTAACCAATAATTAAATTTTAAAATTTTGTACTATAATGTAGCTTCGTTTTAATGATACCTATCGATAGCGACATTTTTAACAGAGGCATTATGAATAGTAACACTTGGATATTCATTCATTTTATTTTCAGTGACGGATTTTCACATTTGCCTTTAATAGGTTATTTAAATTATATCACCTACTATTCGATGCCCTAGTTAACAATCATTTTTATTCAATTTTTTTTTTACAATAAAACTGTAACTTTTGGCCTTAAATTTGCCGCCTCTTAAATCTGCCACCCTAGGCTCCAGCCAACTCAGCCTGCTGGTAAATCCGCCACTGTTTATTTTGTTGATACTTTTAGGTGGTATTATCAATATAGGAGCAATACCGACTCTTAAATAACATAGCGATTCTGTTTACTTACTCCGTGATTTAAATATATAAGCCCGCTTTTAAATAACGTAATGATTACTTACCTACTGAGGTTTTTAACTAGGTAAGCAGCTAATGAAAATATAAATTATTAATAAAATTGTGATGACAAATATGGATACTTAAGGTATAAGTAAATACATTATTTTTAAAATAAAGCAAATTAATTTACCTACACGTTTTTTATACAGTAAATACTTATCTCCATATTTACGCATGATATTTGTTTAAGAGCGTAGGTTACATACTGAATCTTACCGAAGTATAGTAATTGAATAATTTACAACATTTATAATATTTTTTTTATGAGTTGAAGATTTCAACAGAGAGAAGCTATATCCTCGCGATTTGATGTGGCTAAAAAAAGCTCTGATATAACACTAAATTTAGATTTTGTTGTCCATAACCGTAACTTTCAAAGTAAAATACGAAGTAGGTGTAAAATTTATAACGATAATTATACATACATATATATATATATATATATATATATATATATATATATGCAAACGTACAAAACATATATATTGTATATATATAACGTTTCAAACGTATTTGAAAATTGACAGAGAATTCTGACATTGCTACACTATGATAAACTTCTGTATGAACGGTCTTAAATTAATAATATATCTATATACCTGTCGATAACAAACATTATGCCTACCTATATTCCTGGAAGGAGATGAAAACATTAAATATTGAAATCATTTCTCTGTTATCGATCTGCTCGTAATTACATTACTTCTTGTTCATTATGATATTATTTTATTTATTATGTGATTATTATATTAATAAATATGTTCACAACTGCAATCCCCAATGGAGTCCTTAGAGACTGTTGTTGAACATAACGTAACGTAAACAAAGTACCAGAGGACCAAAGGTAACGTAACGTAAACAAGTCGTTTGCTTGGGCATTTCTGTCCCATTCGTGTTTCTACCGTGAAGCAGTTATGTTTGCATGGCTGTGTTTCGGTTTGAAGGGTGAGATATGGTAGTAAATTTACTGGGTACAGAGGAATAACACTTGAGTCCTCAGGAATGGCAACGTATAGGAGGTATCATAGGCGAAACAGTATACTCTGTTATGTCTATGGTACTTCTCATGTCTATAGGCGATGGTTTCCATCAGGTGGGCCGTCAGCTTGTTTGATTATTTGTTTCATTCGATTGATATATATTATTTGAACAGTTTTAAAGTCAGGTTTTTAAAGTTTTTTTTTTATATATTGATAATTTCCTTTACAATCGAAAATCTACTGTTATCAAATAACAAATAAATATTTAGAATTTTTGTTAATGTATATTATACTAAAAGGAGACTATACAAAAATCAACTACTTGGGTACCCTTGTCCCACACGTGTTTGTTAGTCCTCAAAAATAGCAACGCATGAAGGATACATAGACGTCACAGTATACTCTGTCATGTTCATGGTGCTCTTGTCATCTCATGCTCTATGTGCTCATGTCTATAGGAGACGGTTACTACTATCCCTATCTCACCTGACGGAAAGTGGCAACCATCTACTTGTTTGCCAATCTAAGTTGCATATTTTTTTTCGCTAATTGACATTGCTACTAAACATATGATAAACGGTAATATCGTCTTATCACAAAAAAGTTAAACTTTCAATAAACAGGTATTGAACATACATGTTTAGACGACTTAAGGCAAAAACGTGTCTATCATTTGTTTATGTGTAAATGAAAAAAAGGCAATTTTATTAAATATTAAAGGTATTTAAAATAATAATTTTTATTATATTGATGTATATATTTTAGTACATAAAATAAAAAATTAACGTTATTACACTAACTAAATAAACACGGATTAGATAAACAGTTTTTGTAGATGCAACCTGTATTACAATTAACTTTGAAACAGAAATTGAAGGTTCACGTTTTATATCTTATTGACCAAAACCATACAGCAAAAAAAATATACGAGTTCAAATCCTATCGGAAGCTTAAATTTCCGTTTAATCTAACATTTATACGTAAAACATGTAGGTACATTTTACTATATCTAATTTAGTTTTACACCTAAATTATGTATTACACACTAAATTATATATTAAAATTGTTTGAGTCAAACAATTTTACTAGGTAATTTAGTTCAATACCTACTAAGAACACTGAATTCAGAAATAACATTTAATAGAGATTGGATAAAGTTATAGTAATAAATGCTTATAATTAAAGGAGTGTAGTAACTCCTGAAAGAGTACATATGACATTAAATTTAACTTCCTAACTATATAAATTTCTCGATTTTAGTAAATTTACCTTGATTTACTTCTAAATATAAAGTCCTATGTTGCCATGTAGTACCAGTATAGAATAGGCCGCCCTTTCCCGAAGGTGTCGTAAGAGACGACTAAGAGAACTCAACGGTAGAGGGATGGGCAGCGGAGTCTTTCTCATCATCAAAAGCCTAACTGCCGTTGTCAACCCACCTGCCAAGCGTGATATCTACTGGCAAAATCCCCATAGTAGGAAACTGCCATAAGGAACGCTCCCGTTCCTTATGATAGTATATGGGAGATGCCTATGTTCAGCAATGGACGGATAACGGCTGAAATGATGATGACATTTTTTTTATGAATAAACGTACAGGTATCTATAGTTGTTGTTAGGTGCCTACTGAAACTTCGACATTAATGGAAGTTCTAAATTTGTGCTATTTTTTTAAATCAAATAATGTTAAAACCTTATTGATATTCAAAGATCGCTCCGACCCTCGGATGGATACATAATATTTCACAATAAGTACATTCATGTAAGTAAATTACATAAATATATACAGATATTAACTAGAGTGGTTCAACTTGGCTGATGTTTTATATGATTTTTATTGACTTTAATTGATGGTTTTTATTGACTTTAATATATAGATGACTACATCTATTAACGACTTTGTCTACATGAAGTAAAATAAAACGCACTATACCAAAAATATTAATATTGCTGCTAGGTACATTCCCTATATAAGTATGGAGAGAGAAGCTTTTAAATTTCAGTACATGATATTTATTATGGACGTATTTTTTTGCGATGAATGCCCACAATATAGTCACAAAAAATTAATTGCACACGTTTACACGTTTTACGGTCTATAGGACACTCCTATAGACCGCCATTATAGATTGTATAATATCGATCAATGCTACGGTAAATTATAATAGCACCCTTACTCTATCAACGTGATGATAAAAGTACTCTATGAATTAATCCGGGATATGTTTCATTTTAAGTGTACAAAATATAAGTATGACCATACTATCTTTTACACTTCGTTTTACTAATATTATGTTTCTTTCTTTTATGACAGGTGCTAAAACAATTTACAAACAACGATCATATCAAGACACTACAATGATTCAAGTGGACAACTTTAAACGGCCATCACCTTCACCATCGAGAAGTTCAGTACGGAGTGACAGCCGTGTGTTTCGACAACCGCGAGTTATACAAGTCAATCGTGATGCTTCTACCATGGTGGATGGTGAAAGCAGCGCTCCAGGCAGGGCAAATACTGCAGCCATGGATACTGGGCCTGAATGGGAATCCCATCTCGGACAACATGCCACGCATAATTTCCGATCCCGCACTTTTAGTGATGGGTTCATTAGAAATACCAGTCTCGAACTGTTACTTGGTGTTGATTGCGAAGCCTGTCTCGCTTTAGCAGCTCAACGACAATGCTTAGAGAAACACATATCAGAACATGATTTCGATTTAATATGTAACTGTAATGTTCAACAAAATAATTATTTGAATTTTCATCGCGATGCTGTAGATCAACGAGGTCATACACTAAATATTTATGATTTAGAAAGGATCAAACGAGACTCTGGAAGGAGTCATTTAGCAGTAGGGTCACATCGCAGCTTAGATAGGAAACATACTAAAAGCAAAACCATCGGTGTTTCTAATTACATTTCAAAACAGTTAATATCGTACGATCCGACGAATACTTTGGTACAAAAGATTAAGAGAAAACTGTCTAACTTAAAGAAAATTGGCGGAGAATCAATATTAAAAAAGCACCAAAATGCTGTACAACTAGCAGAGATAACTGGAGGTTCCTCGAGCTCGCTTAAAAAGCTATCAATGTTGTCTTTAGTAGACAAGTCTCAAAGACGAGTAAATAGCCAAAGTTGTATCTATTCCTCAGGATTTCAAACAAAAGACGATGTGAAGAATAACGCGGCGACATATGCTAACTTTTCTGGGAATGTGGACCAATGTTTTGATAGATTACGAGATTGTAATGTAAGTGCAGATATGAGTAGAAGATCACACAAAATGATAAAAATTAGAAGTTTTGATAATAATGACGACCTTATAACTAGAAATTCGCCTGCTCTTGGAATCACGAAATTTTCTACGCTAGATAACCGTAGTCGATGTAAAAGTATAAAAAGACAAATGTCTTATAATGACTTTCCAAGAGAAAGATTTAGGGATAGAAGTTCAGAGAGTTGGTCGCGAGAAGAAAATACAGTTGAATCTAGGAGTACTCGAAGTGATTTAGTGGACGATGATTCGCAAGCTTTTGTAGAAGCGGATGTAATAATGATGGGTGGTCCTCGTACTGCACATGCTCAGTGCACTTGTGACTCAAGCCGCAACACCAGGATACCTTCTATTTTTTATGACACTCAGGTACGTTAGATATTTTAAAAAATTACACAATTTATATAAATTAAAACGTAACTACTTGTACTACTAAATACTTCTATGAAATTCATTACATAAGAACAGGTAAATAATTTTATTTCATTAAATCCCTCATTTCTCTATAAACAAAATTGCAAATCACGTTCCGTTGCTCGAACCATTCAGTAAGTCGCATTTTTCTATCAAACAAGACTTTTCACTCATACACTTATTTTATTTCATATGTTATGTATGGATTTAAAGAAAGTTATGTAACTGTTTGTAAAATATAAAATAAAAAATTGTTACCCTCTTTTATATAATTACCATGATATACAGACACCTTACCATATACATATACCATATACAGACACCTTCCTCCGAAAGTACGATAAATGCACCATCCAGGATATTCTACTGGTACCTAAATTAATAATGTTTGTTTAGGAAGGGTGAACACATTTAATTATTGGCTTAATTAATGAATTTCTTCATCGCACCGCCACGAAAAATATCGCTATAACAATGGAGTTCTATTAATAATCATTGTGCTATAAAGATTAATGTTAAGTTAATAAATGGGTGTCAAGTTCTACTTACGTATTTCGCGAATCATTAAACTATCCCAATTCTCTCTTCGATTTATGTATCATAATTATTTTCATAACATATTAAATATTTTTACTCGGATCTGTAATAATCAATAATTAAATATACAGCGGTTTTTTGTCCTCTATACTCCTACCAAGTCAATGATTTTTTTAATATATTGATTTAAAAATTATTTAATTAAGAGTAATTCATCAAGGAAATATTTATCTAACTACTCTTGTTAAAAATGGCTTGGTAGAGATCAGACAGCAATCACTTTACGCAAAAACCAACACCCTCGTCAAATGTCTTATATTACGTAGTGAAATCCTGGGACACCAGAGTAAAGTGGTAGAAGAAATCTTGTGATTATTTGCATAAATAAACGACAATTTCACTCCAATGGCTCCCTTTTGACAGCTATTTTATTTCATTTATGGGTATCAAACATATAACTGTATCCGTACCGTACTCTACTGCGTGCAAAGAAATGACAATATAATTGAAAATATTTGTGTGTGTGTATGAATATTTTATAAATTCCTTATCAAAATTTATCTAATAAATTACTTCTACTCTAGCATTATTATAATGTGCATAATGATATTCTTATTTACCTAATTCTTAAGCCTAAATAAAAGAATGATTACCCGAAATTTACTTAGATTTGTATTATAATCATAAGAATTCAAATATATTATATACCTAACTCATAAATAAAAAAAAAATTACCTTTAGGCACATAAATTATAAATCTAAATATTTTTTTATATAAAATCATTTTTAAATAAGAAAGTCGTTAAGTTAAAATTTTGATCAAATGAAAATTCTACGTATGCCTGGTTAAAACCATTTGATCTTCATTCTCCTAACGTTTCCCTTTTATTTATCCGCACAATTTACCTCATTCCCTAATTTATAATGAATGGTAAAACAATTCGTTTTCCGCAACAAAGTTTCAGTGAAACTGGAAACCCGGCTGTTTTAAGATTTCAATGTCGCTTATAGGTAAATAACGGATGATGGAGGGTGAACCTGAGCTGTTTCCAAATTAATGAAGCTATGAAAGACTTTTACAGTGCAGCATTTTATCTAATTTTTAGACTGAAACTCCACAAGATTTTACTATAAAAGAAATTTAAAGCAAATTTAATTATTTTATCAAAAGATCTTCTTTAAGATTTAAGTTATAGGTCTTAAAATAATTTAATATTCAAGATATACCTATAGACGTTTTTGAAAATAATACATATTCATTAAGATGTATTATATAATATTTTTATCTATTATGATTACCAATCCAATATAGCTACGTATTCATAAATTTTTATTTGTAAATTTAAGATTTACTATTGAACAACATTATGCATCTTTTTCAGTCGGTCTTTTGCAGTCAAGCACTGCAGTCCGGAGAGCTCAAGATCGATTCCAAGTCTAAAACTCTGTATTTTCAAAGTATTGTTATAATGATTTAAAAAATGTATATGTATCGTCTTTAGAAAGTATATAATGAAAGTAATTGTCCTAAGCAACGCCAAAGACCATCACGGTCTTGTAATGGGAAGATGACATTCTCACACAATTAGAATAATTAGACATATAATAATATTTTTCTTCTTGTATCCCAATTAAAATACTTATTTAAAAAACTATTGTAGTTTTAGTTGAATTACAATTTGGGTCCCGAGTTTTCTCTTATTTCAACTATGTACATTTAAAATTCGTTATGAATATCTTTGAGCTACCTCAATTCCTCTAATAACTTTTTCGTAATCTCACGTAATAATAATACATCACAGGGAAAAAAGCGAAGCGCCCCAGCACCTGATGTAACAGAGCGCGGCCAGGGAACACGAGCAGCGGCGTGCAGTGCATGCAAATCTCCGCAATGGCTGCCCACTGGGACCACTTCCACAACCAGCCACAGCTCTACAACTACAGCTAACTCTTCGCGTTAGTTTGAGATTATTATTGTTATGGACTGATTATTATTCTAATATTTTTAGGTACACAAGATCACAGATTATATAATACTATACTGGTACTGAGTAAAGTTTTGTGTAGCACATTTTATTTTTACATCTTTAAATGATTATATATGTATATATATATATATATATATATATATATAAACCAAAATGACGAAATATAAAAGTTCCTTCTTTATCAGAATTATTTAAGAATTTCTTGACGATTATACCTATAAAAAATTTATTCAGCTAAGTTTTATAGTTATAATGTATACTAACACAGAATAATCATGGAATTTCGCTATTGGCAACTAAACCAAAGGCAAATAATCTCTTTGTGATAGTTTTTGTATATTCAAAAGACTGAAAATTAGCAACATAAACAACAGTACGATCAAATCTAATCGAATCCAAAACTTATACAGATAAAATGCAATCGCTTATAAATAAAATATGGTTGAGGAACAAATAAATATAAATAACTAAATAAACAAAAATTGCCATAAACTACAGTGCGGAAAAAAACAGACTATTTAGCAATTGTAAATAATACCCAATTTGCTATTAAGAAAATAACTTAATAACATAACTATATATATATAATAATATAGTATATATATATATATATATATATATATATATATATATATATAATATAGTAATTCGTCTAAGGTATTAATTTAATATACCAAGACTATAGAAGTAATATACTAATCTACTTACAGACTAAAAAATGTAATAACAGAGATTGGAAATTAGACAAAAACAATTACACACAGTGTGCATGTATGAGTGTATATTAATTATGGAACTTGAAAGAAATTAAAGTTTATTAAATAGTAAATTATAAATTTTTAAATCATGGGCAATCTCAATTAAATATGATAATTTTCCCTGGCAATTATAACTTACATTACTAAAGCATTACTTTTGAATATCTATAATGAATACTAATAATAATTAAAATTAAATCATTTATTTTACGCATTGACTGACCCATATAAAATCATTCCACATGACAGGTAAAGGTATACGCTGGCGAGGCACCAGTAAGAGATGATAGGTGAGAATGAAAAAGCAAGTCAATTAGCCAATCGTGTTGAATACACCTGGAATTCAGTACAACGGTTTCTAGAAAGAACTACTTCGACCTGGCAGGGTATATTAATTGAACTGGTAGTTCTCATTGCTATCAATCCCTTTACCCCGAATTATCGTACTAGTAGGTAACCGTAACTATTTACATTTTTCTCCGTTACTCCCGCCAGACCCTTACTGATTAATAGAGTATACATGACTGATCTGCCTGTATATTTCCTTATGACAAATGTTATAATTACATGTGTATAATATATAGGGCAGGTAACAACATGAAAGCTTTAATTTAACAAGAAAAATTTAATGTTCTATTTTTAAAATTATATACTAGAGATACAATTATATAAATTTCTTATATATAGAGATTATATCATAATGGGAATTTAAATCGGGCTTTGTATATTTTTGTCACAAAATATGACATAATAGAGATATTAGATTATGCTTCTTAATATAGAAAAGAATTCTTAATTAAAAATAAAAATACCTACTTACTTAGTTTCCTGTTTATCTATTTATCTATCATACCAAATCTATTACAGAGTAGGCAGAGATAACTGAATGCCAAAAACCTCTATTATTACACATTATCATCTCTTGCCTGATTCAATTCGTCTCAAGTATGTGTGCTGATTCCCGAAATTCTTAACTTAATCTTCCGATAGAAATTAATTCGTATGATTATTAATAATGTTTAAAATCTTAATTTTATAATATTTTCTTTAACTTTGAAATAAAAATAACTGCATAATTTAAATAAAAATATGAAAAACTTGAATAAGCTTATTTATATATCTAAGTAAAACAATTAGTTTGTATTACAGCGAAGTTTCCAAACATATAAGCCAGTGTCTGCTTCGGTGATCGAGCAAGTTTGCGTTTGACAGCGAGATTATCGAAAGACCCGTAACATCCTCGTAACGAGCGATTGCTTGACCTAAATTGAATCTGCGAGGTATATTCTTTAATGACATCATATTCGCTCTTTTAAAGTATTTCCATTGTTAATCGCCTCAGAGCTTTATGGTACAAAAACCGATAGATAAAACGCGTATAATAATTGTAGTTATATTTAGGGTTTAAGATTCTGTCTAAGATTGAAGCTTAATTTTTAATTACTAAGAAAATAACCTAACACATCATGAATTAAATTTGACAGTAATAAAATGCTTTTTTTATCCTATAGCTTATCTGCGATGATACATCAATGTGTCTACAAATAAGCATGCATCAATTATTTAATATAGATATAATTATTATGCAGGTTTTTCTGTATGGCACCGACGATGGTGCTGTGTGGCGGTGCTAGTACTTGTAGCGGGAACAGCCTGCGTGGCAGGACCACTCGCTCTTCGAGCTCCACCAGGGGCCCCCTTGCATGAGAGGCTGCGGCTCGCAGAGAGACTGCTACACGACACACCGCTTATAGATGGACACAATGATTTACCGTGGAATATACGGAAATTTTTACATAACAGAATAAAAGATTTTAGGTAAGACCTCTCTTATAGTATAATTTAATCATCATAAGAGAGTAGATAACTTTTCAAACGCCGAAATTTACCTGTTTTACTAATTTAGAGCTTTAAAATATATTCCACAAGTAACAGTGATAAAAACTTAATATTTACATCATCATCACCATGTTACACATAGGAATATAAAGGTCCTCCTAAGACTAAAACAGAAGACTCGCTCGAATTTTTGCCGCCGAACATCTGTAAATGAACGGAGATAGTGTTACGAATACTGTATATGTAATGGCTACGCTATTGTTCTTGTTTATTGATCACTACTTTCCATCAAGGAAACCGACCGTTTATTAATTACTTAAAAATTAAATTGCTTAGACTAATTACAATCAAATCTAATTATATTTTGCAACGTGGTACCTCGTCAATTTTGTATTAAATCTCCATGTTATAAGTATGAATCAGAAAAAATGTTCCTATACCAGGAAAGCTTGCTACTGGCTTTAATGCATTCATAAATTAAATATATAATTAAAAATAAAAAAGGCTTTAAACAAAAAGAAGTTCTCTATTCACCTTTTTCTGTCTGTGTGATAAGTAAGCGCTTTATATTATTCTCAATTTCGTGTATAATATACATGTCATATAGTATATTTATTATTTATATATATTTATTCGTTTATATATGCAATTTTAGTATGTATGTATATAAATAATTACTAGTACCCCATTAGAGTATTCTGACACTTCCCTATGGTTGACTGGGAGAGAATGCTTTTAGCATTAAGTCCGCCATGTACACATATTTGTACTAATGAATAAATAAATAAATACACGACATTTTCGGCAATATTGCACCGGATTACTTTATTAATTGGTTTAGTCGCAATTTAATTTATCTTTTTAATTAATAAGTACCACTTAATCTAAACACTTAGGCTGCACATAGAAATACCGAGAATTAATTATCGTGTGTTGTCTCCAGGTTTGACGAAGATTTACGCACAATATCTCCTTGGGCTACAAGTTCTTGGAGTCACACAGATTTACCCCGACTGAAGCAAGGACGGGTTGCAGCTCAGGTGAGAGTGTTTAATATTATGTTCTTTTTATGAATAATCTATTATACCTGATAATCTTGGTAGCGTTCTGTATATAAAAAGGAAAACCGTAATCCTTCCAAAACCATTTAGGCTGTCCGTTCGCCTAGCTATTACAAATATTTTTCTGAATAATGGTATGGTCTAGATACTAATTACTATTCGTATTACCTTTCATTTTAGGTATAAAAAATGCTAAAATATTTTTTTAAACACCATGAGGCATAGATACCATAAAGGTAGAATTATTAATCATCTCCTTTTTAAGGCTCTTAAAATCCCTCCAATCTCACTCTACCTTTTCATGTCAGATACCTTTTCGAATTCGAACATTTGACGTATTGGGATTGGAAAATCTGTCGCAAAAATTAACTACCTTTTACTGTGAAATATCATAAAATCAAGTTGAAGTTGCAAAAATGTTAATACGAACAGAAGGTTCCTGAAAATTAACTTACTCCCCAGTACCGTTTTTTGTTTAAACGGGCATTGAGATATCTACAGAAACAAAAGACATGTTTTATTATGTATCAAAATATATGTAAAACGTACTTAACTAATATAAATGTTTGGCGAAACGCGGTGCAAGATGAAAAACTGAAATAGTATTTAAAAATATTTTAAATGTGAATAGCAAATTATTAATAGGTTAGTAAAATGTCCAACGTAAATAAAACGTAATAATTAAACAAAAAAAAAACAGTATTGATAAGACACCACAAAAATTATTGAATATTATGATACTTTCTAATAAATATTAACTACCAAAAGTCTAATTAAATTGATAATTAAATCATTGCGTTTGTTCGTCGAGGTCATTAAACCATTAAAGTCTCGATCAACCAACTTTAGGTATTTAACGCTTAAAATAATAATTTACACGGTATTTAACATGATTTTATTAACTTCTGAATTTTCGATACTTCTGCATAATATCTTGTGATATGATCAGAGACAAGAAACAACTTATTATCTATCTCTGTACATTATAAAGTGAGTTAAGTAGTTCAATGTAGCTTTAGTATTAAAAATTTATTTTACTTAGAATTAATAAAAAAATACCAAACTGTATGGGTGTGTGCATTAAATAATTTAGTACTCAAGTATATCTACATCTTTGTTGACAGAGTCGATTGTTTAATAGAAGGCTCCGTAAAATAATATAAATCTTCTGAAAATTTCAAAATCAGTAGTAAATGCTCACAGCTATGATAAAAAATATCTTAATTATACATGTTGTCTGTTGTATACATGTGTCTTACAAAATTTGGTGATTACACCGTGGGGTAATATTACCCCACGGTATTCTCTTATATAAGTCTATCATCTCCCTCAAGTCAAATAGATACCGTATTAAATAATTTGCATTTGAATAAAATTTATAATAAATTAATATATACGCTTAAATACACAGTACGGTTCTAACGCCCCTAATATTTGCTTTAACACAATATTTATAATCTCGTATCAAACGCGTGCTCTCACGTAAATTTCAAACTGACATGCGACAGTTTCGTCACGTCTCAAATGAATTTTCCATTACAGGAGCTTAAACAATTTTCCTTATAATGTAAGGATTTCTTACTCTTAGAACACATTGCGCAGGTCGTGCGTGATATTTAATAAGCTGTACGTCAAAGTGATACATATTTTGCATCAGTTCTGGGCGGCGTACGTGCCTTGCGACGCGCAGCACCGCGACGCTGTGCAACTGACATTCGAGCAGATAGACCTCATACAGAGGCTAACTGAAAAGTATCATCCGCAGCTTACTATATGCACTTCTACTGAAGGTAATTTATCAAACATTATAATCGTCCTCCAATATTTGACATCATATTAATTATCTGGTTACGCAGATCATATACACTCATTTACAGGTATATACAATAGTTATCAACTCTATTATTATTTTGAGTAACGAGGATCAACGCAGAAAGGAACTCTTTCGAATAAAAATATAAATATCCAAATTCTACAGTCGTATTCCTTTGAATACGTAAAAATAAACGCAAAAAACAATCAAAAAATTACTATTGTAGAGATCTTCATTAAATGAAATAATTTAATTTAATAATTTTCATTTGTGAAAAGGATAAATTATACACAACAGTTTTTTGTAATCTGGTGAAGAGTGGATACAAAAGCATCTGAGCAATTTGCATAAAAAACTCGTTGTCTTTTGACTTTATTATGTAAAAAACGTGAAATGGTTAAAATTAATTTAAAGAGTTTTCTTTTGCCTTGAGTGTTTTGGAAATTGGAATTGCTTTTCGTGTCGTTAAAATATTACTCAGTAATTTAATACTGCGCCATGTGGTCCCGGCATACAATGGACTACCTCTTCTTTTCCCGTGGATGTCATAAGAGGCAACTAATGGAGCTTAATGGTCGAGGGATGAACAGCAGCATCCCTCTTAGAACATTACCAAAGGCTAACTGCGGTTGCCAACCTGCCTGCCAACTATTATCAACTATTGTCAAAACCATCCTTTATGAGGGAAGCCTATTTATGTTCAACAGCAGACTATTAATGGCTGGTATGATGACGATGATGAAATTAATACTGAATATATAGAAACCTGTGTATAGATAGTTAAATATCGATTAAATATTCTACATTATAATAAATAATATCCATGTATATTTATATATTTAATTAACTTTATCGACAAAAAAATGGAACAAAAGGACTTAATACTAGTAGTATTCTCTAGCAGTCAACCGTTGATTGGGAGATTTGTGATTCACTGACTAAGGCTGTACCTCAATATTGGAATAGGAAATGAAAATAACAGTGTATACTTAATACAATATTCTTTAATATTTAAATATTGTGATAAAAACAATAAAAACTTATTTTAATATCGTACGTAACTGATTAATAGAGAAAATAAAATGCATTTTCCCACTAGGTACAACATTTCTTTTCTAAATCCCAGATATAATATCGGCGCATGCCAACCAGCGACTGTGTTCACTAGTGGGAGTCGAGGGTGGCCACGCAATAGGTGGGTCTCTTGGGGTCCTCCGAACCCTACACCAAGTTGGAGTACGATATCTCACACTCACCTCTACATGCGATACGCCGTGGGCCGAGTGCGCCTCCGCCGATCGACCCGAGCCTTCCCTACGCGGCGGACTCACGCACTTTGGAAAGGTAATCTAAAGTTCCTTAAGTGTATTGTACTGTTTACAAACAAATCCCTTATCCCTTACACAATCCTTTATTGTTGCCCCATTGCCGCCACTCAAATGTTATTCGATTACGAGAAATTCACAAAGCATCTAGGTACCTATCTACCCAGAAGCCAAATTATAAAGTGAACAAGCATTGGATATAATTTACTCTCATTATACGGAGTTATCTTGACTTAATTCTTTCACAAGACTTTCTGGATTAGAAGTTCTTATCTGTTTAACAGATTATGTTAAGGTAACTCATTAACAAGTTAATTTATTGTTCTACATTATAGATACCGTTTATGAAATACTGTTTTAGGTAGGGGAATGTGGATTGTTTTCGAATGGTTAAGATAACGATAACTTTACTCAGACGGAATGTTATACATATATTGACAAAGCAATAAATAATTATAACTCATAGATATTTATCTTGATTTTTACTCACCTATGAAACATCAATTATAAAAAAGTTAGAATAGTACCTAAATAAAAAGTCATAGACAATTATCGAAACGTATTAACTAAAATTATTTCATCCAGTTTAAAATAAATACCTAGACAGTACAAATAAATAGCGGTATTTACCAGTTACTTTTGTTGCGTAGATTTATTTAATAAAATAAGAACGTTCATAAATTCAATATTAGATAAAAAATAAATAACGTTTCATATATATTTAACTTCTTTGCTAAAAAGTTGTTAAACTAACCGCTGTATCTATTGTTCAAGTGCAATAAAGAATATATAATATTTATACAATATTTCACAAACCAAATTAAGATTTGTATATCATGAATGATGTAAATTGTAGAAAATGCTGAAACGAGTAAGTACCTAGTAAACGAAACCGTAAAGATTGAAACAGCGAGTAGACTGAGTGTGCCATAATCATAAACATCCCGCCTCACGGCAATATTTCGCTTTGTATGAACTCGGTGCTCGCCAAGCAGTTCTTTGTTTTCTTACAACGATACTTTTCGAAATATTTTCTTTTGTTGAAAGCACTCACTGCGTGTAACGCAGAGACACGTAAGCGCGTAGCTTGATGTTAAAAAATACTTTTAAAGATCTTACCTTGATAAAAGTACCTACTTATAAGTAAACATAGATACATATTTTTTCCTCAATAAACAAAACTTTTCCAGTTATTATTCTATCCATATCCTTTTGATAATATTTAACTTAATCAACACTTTGGAGCTGTTTGACCTAAATTGTTTTAAACTTATTATTTATTCTTAGAAAATTTCACAATGGATGGATTTCATCAATCAAAAGTTATAACTTTCTTTTAATACTTCACTTTTATATTATTTTTCCATTCCATTCATGCCAATGCCCAAGAGAAATCAAAGTTAGATGCCTATAAAAGATACCATATTTAATTATATTTTTCTCTTAAATCACAAAATAAACACAGATATATAAGTTCTAATAAATATAATTCCATTTACTTGGTAAGCAAATAGAAAGATACTCGTAAAACCACTTTACAATTCTACATATCTCAGTTGTATTAATATTTAATAAATCCTAACCATTCAATTTTGCTTTACTAATATAATAAATGTATTTTTTTAAATATATTTAGATATTTGTAACTCAACTACACTTGTGCGAGTTGTAATGATATTGGGTAGCTTTTTTTTTACAACACAGTTTATACAAGCTTATTGGGTATCTTGACCTTTCTTGACCATAGTGTATACAAGTTTTTTGGGTACCTTAACTTTTCTTGGCCATAGTGTATACAAACTTTTGAGTACCTTGACTTTTCTTGAAGTATGAACCATACACCACATTTTAATTTAGATTTTGAAGACAAACTTAATACAACTGTAAAAACTGCTTCCAATTTGGTGGAATAGTTCTTGCGTGATACCGGAACAAACATACAAACAAAGAGATAGACAAAATTTCTAAAAATTGTTGTTTGGGCATCTATTATCCCTCATATCTATTTTTTAAATATCTTTGACATACAGACATCGTCTAGTTACAATTTTATTATATTAATAACATTAATACATAATTTTTATTCCAATCAACCCTAACAATGTTACAGCATACACTTAATTATTAATAAAGTTCTCTCAATGGAATTTATAAAATCAACGAAACCTATTTGTGTTCAGTGTATAAATTAAATAAATTTTCAGCAAACTAATTTGACTAAGTGAAACAAATGCAAGCTGACAGCGACAGTCCTTCTTTAATAAGTACCTGAATACTAAATTTATTTGCATTACAAGATAATTTCTATAACGTTGTATAATATATACGAAACACTTATTTGTGAAATATGTCTGTTCTAAAACATATAGTTCTAATCCAATGACATAATATGATAGTGCAGTACCTAAGATACGTAAGTATGAAATTTCATGAAAGATTCTGAAAATGTAGGCACATATTGCAGGTAAGTGACAATATTCAGGATTTTATGAAATATCCAGGGATATCACAAAATCTCTGAAGGTTCCAAATAATGTAATCTTTTGGGTCTTATTAAAACCCCTTTGTATAGAATTATTCATATTTCATTGAATGTTTTTATGTTAGTTATCATATTCTTTTAGCGCGTCTATGAACATTGTCAACTGAAAATTTAATTTGTACCGAAAAAACTCTATATAAGGTTTTCTTTCCCGTTTTCTTAGATTTAATTTAATGAATTTATATAATTGTATAAAATATTAGTAGTTATAGGCGAATATGCAGTATAGAAGAAAAAATTGAATATTTAGTTTGTTATACATTAAAAACATTGTTTTAAAAGTATTTATTTGTCTAATAAATAAACAAATAAAAATTTATAAATCATTGAATGTTTATACAGTCGTTAACTGTTCACTGGTGAATATAGCCCTCCCTTATGAGGGATTGTAATCAAATCATTGTATAATATAAACTGTTAGCATTGAATTGCTGGACATTTGCATAATAACATGAATAACATCATCATGATAATTTCATTTACGTTGTCTGCTACTGAACATAAGCTTTTGCCACAATGTACTACCCACTGTAAAGGATCCCTACTGCGATAGAAAAGAAAATATTCTAGATCATATAAACTTTTAATTATATACAATTTTATATACAATTAATTATATACCTACTATTTGGTCGTATTAAGAAAACTTAATTTTAAAATTATTATCACTAATATGATAAATCTAAATAGAATATATCTAAAATTACTAGATATAAATTACATTCCGTTTACAAAAAATCAAAAATTAAATTATAACAGATTATTTTTTTTTTATGATAATATATTTTTTTTAAATTTAATAATGGATTTCCATTAACATTTGATTCCCGTAATTTTAAATAAATAAATACCTTACTATTACCGTATTCACTAACAATATTATTACTTATACTATACTACTAACACATATAAATAACGACGTACTGTTTCCTATTAAAAAATAGGTTGTCAGTAGATAGGTATCTAATCACTCTCCGACCACATATTTTTGTTCTACTAAATATTTTCCTTTGGTAACAGGTAGTCGTTAAGGAGATGAACCGACTCGGCATGCTGGTAGATCTGTCACATGTGTCCGAACGCACAATGCGTGACGCTCTAGCGGTGTCGCGAGCCCCCGTACTCTTTTCACACTCTTCGGCTCGTGCACTCTGTAATGTCACTAGGAACGTGCCGGACACGGTGCTGCGGCTCTTGGCCGCCAACAAAGGTCTTATCATGGTCAATTTCTACACTTCTTTTCTCACTTGCAAAGAAACAGCTACCGTTCAAGATGCTATAGGTGAGTTACTTTAATACTCACAGACAATTATTACATAACTGATACCAGCTATTTCTCTTCATATTTGCGGGTTCGATCACCAATATAATAAGATTAAGATTGTGTTCTATAAAAACACCGGCTTCAAAACCAGTTATTTTTATTTAGTAACTAAACTACTAAACCGATTCGGATAAAATTTCTCTAGGACCAAACTGTAAGTTTATCTTTTCATATAAAAAAGAATTTATCAAATCGGTTTACAATTGACGGAGTTATGAAGTAAGCATAAAAAAATACAACCAAATTGAGAACCTCCTTTTTTCGGTTAAATTTTGTAGATATATGCTGATTAGCTAATTTTAAGTCATTATTATAAATGATCTAATTTAAAAGAATATCTTAGAGATATAATAATAATTAATACCTATACACTATTGGTTACAAAAATATCAACCTTAATTTCAGCCCATATAAATCATATTCGCGACGTAGCTGGAGTGGATAGCGTTGGCCTAGGAGCTGGGTATGATGGAATTAACTAGTAAGTACTATGACGTGACCCAATCACTAAGAAAGTTATTGACTTCATATACTTTTATTTATGTATACTTTATTATGTATATATATTATTTATGTAAACTTACAATAGCAAAATTTTTTGCCATATTTCTTAATTCGATTGTAACGTAATTAATATTCATATCTAAAATGCTTTAAAGTTCAAAATCCAAAAAAACAGTACATCTTGTTAATGATGAATAACGGAACCGAAACATTGTCCGTCACTGCTACCTCTATACATAAGCTCCATAAGTTACTCAGCGAGTTATGAAGCGAGCTATATATACGCTGCGTGATAGATTCAAAATTTTCGATATAAGGATATCCGTAAAAAAAACAAGAATATTTTCGCTTTATCTATCCCGAATAATAGCTTAGTTAAAAATGGGTCAACCATATAGCTTCAAAAATTGGACAATCAATGTGAAAAAAAATATTTTTGAATAACTACTTCGCATATATAAACACAGTTTAGGACGACCCCCGATAGAGCAACGACTTCAAATACAAAGGTCAATGAATGCAGGCGACTCAGGATCGTTTTTTACGGCAATTTATAGGGGAGGTTCAAACGTTGACAATTATCGGCTGAAATTATAATAATACTCGTATGTGTAATACTTAATTATACACATATTTTGTTCTAAAAGTATGCGGTCAGTGCTCCCCTTATCTTTATATCATTTACTTAAATGTAACGTTTGTTATCGAATTTACTTGCTTACAATCTTAATAGTATTTTGGTTGATCAATTCTTTATTTTTAAAGTATGTTTTATAATTGTAAAAAAGTTATAACTATCCTATAAAAAAAACACAAATAAATACGTAATCATGATGTTAATATACGAGTATATGTAATCATAAAACAGGATATCCTGTGATATGAGAATCCAAAGAACATAAGCTGAACGCGAACCAATTTATAAAATTCTAATTTAACTCTATCGAGAACAGAACGTGTGGGAAACACCTTTATCTTAAATTATATGCCTGACACTGCTTTTGCTGCCAAATAATACTAATTGTAATAATACCGAATTAATTGTATAACTAACCAATGTTAAAAAAATAATCAACAGCACTCCACAAGGACTTGAGGACGTATCATCCTACCCACTGTTATTTGCTGAATTGATGGAGGAGGGATGGAGTATAGAAGAGCTTCGTAAATTAGCTGGACTGAACTTATTAAGAGTGCTTAGTGCAGCGGAACGTGTAGCTCAAGAAATGGCCACCGCACAAGTTGTACCTTATGAGGAGATTCCGCCAAGAGTTCTAGACGCTCACAACTGTTCCAGTCAAGATCTTTAAATTAATAAAGCCGTGCAATCCAGCTTTTACAATTTTTACGTTGACTAATATATTCGTTCACGAAACAGTTGTCAATTTAATAAAATAAATACTGAATGATTTAGTGAATTACCGCTATGTACAATTTCAATAATTTAGGATTTTGCTTCGAAACTAAAATTACGTCAATCATAACGAATAAATATGGGACCAACACGGGTGTAAACCTGTCGATTGCAAAACCTATAGAATTGTCTAAAATTGTTTTATTAACAAAAATACATGTAACATTATGCAGTTCTGCTATCTGAATGAGGAGTCATGAGTTTTCGTAATCGGCGTGTATGCATGAGACAAGTTAACAAATTGTATGAGGCTAGATGTATGAAAAGATAGATAGGTCTTTGACACTCTATTTACTCTGGCTACTCCGCAAAGAGCTTGGCATGAAAATATATGGATAGATTAAATAGAGAACTTGTGGGCGTTCATACCAATTTTTAGATTTTTGTTTATATAATTATCACAACTGTTTTCTTTTCACAAAAATACGTGTGACAAACATAAACGCATTTGACGATAATTATTTTGGGCATTACTAAGGATTTTTCTTTAGTGAAAAAAATACTAATACCCACTACCGCAACTTTTACGACTGTTTACATGTATTCCAAGCTTTAATCATTTAGAATAACATGTCATAGATAAGAACGTATAGATCTGTAGTAATTATAACGATGCCCTGTTTAAAATTATTTTTGACGAAATTAAATGGCACAGTAATAATGTTAGATATTTATTAGTCAAATATTTATTATAATTAGTATATCTTACCACAGGTAAAATAAATATTAGATTTAGTAACTTAATTATTATTAGCAAAACAATTATTTAGATTAAATACCTACCCTTGTTATTATTTAAAAGTTTTATGGGAATTAGAAAAAATAATAGTAAATTACTTGGTAATCTGTGTACCTAATTGAAAAAGCCATTAAACTCTTTACATTAACATATTTATGAACGACTTTTTTGTCGTTGATTAGAAATGTTTTAATCGGTACCTAAGTTATAAAGTACTCACCTTGCTAATTATTAGCTTTATGTATTGACGACCAAACATAGAGTGAATTGTAGATTTAGATAACTAAGGTTCGTTAAATTTATAAAGACGTGTTTGAATAAATATTATTAACAATATCTACCCCCTAATGAAATATTAATTAGTAAGGTACTTCAGTACATTTGTTATTACTACATTGGTATTAATAGACGGATCTTAAGACTGACAACATTTCAAGAGTAATTTAGTGTATGTTTGCTACAATTTTGAATAAGAGTAATGACAATCTTACATTCTATCTTAAGATGTGTTTATTATCCATTAATAAAATAACGTTTTCAGTGTTCGTACATTACTTACGAAACATTTAGCCAAAAGTTATTTCAATACTTTGTCTTTCGGTGCAACTGACGACGATCAATTTGTACCTATTACATATCGCATTGATGTTGAATAGTAGATAATAGGGATTAAATGAAAAAGCTCAAACTTTTGATTACTTAGTAAAAAATAAATAATGTTCAATTTCTTGAAGACTTTTTAGAAGAACAGTATTTCTTAGGCATTTTATTCTAATCTAATAAATAATGAAAAAAATATTTCAGTATTTGAATATTTTAAAACAAAACATCTATAAATTTAAATCAATATTATCAATATTTTTATTTTAAGTACCTAAATAGGTTTTACCTGTAATAGATTTTATTTATTATAAACAATAGATTCATATTTATTACTATTTGGCACTATCATTAATATTATTATAAATTAAGGACTTGGGTACCTACCTATTTCATTCAATTTTATCTATTTATTATTAATACTTATAATGCCTATTATTCAATGCATTCAGAATCAAAATCATAATGCATGAAACGGATGTCTTAAAAACAATTCGTCCTAAACTCAGATCCTTGCAAGACTAAAATGTAATGTAAAATGAGTATGATAGGAACTATACGGAATAACACACGTCAAAGTGTATGATCAACTTTTCAACAATAAATTATTAATTTCAATTAAATGGATCTTATATACTTATTCAGTTTAGATGAATATTTTAACTTTTACAACTAAACTTTAACTTTTATCAGAGATACTATTATTAGAGATTATTAGGTTTTGCTAAGGAAGGAAAGAGATACTATTATACTATTATTAGAGATATTCATAGTGTTAGGTTCTCGTAAGAAAGTCAGAACGCTAACTCCTGTTTTCGGACTTTTTTTATTTATTTCATTTTAATTTTATTTTTGTAATTACTTAAACGACCTGTACTTTTATTCTGTACTCTACCAACCCATTTTACTTATTGATAATTAAAGTACATAATTATTATCTTAGATTAAAGTAATGGTGTGAGATTAAATTTGTATTAATATGTTCTTAGGTAGGTACCTATTAGATATTACTTTTTGCACTTACTCGAAATCACTTTCGTATAAACTGAAACCTTTTTGAAAAATTCTACTGTTTATTGGCAATCAAGAATTACTTAGGTTTGATAAATTTATACCTACTTTCGAAATAATAGAATAAGTTATACTTCTAATTACAATTGTTTAATTGTCAATATTACCTACATTGTAGTAATTACCTACATACCTGTGCCTAGTGAATCAGTATTGTTATAGGTGTAAGGTAAGCAATTAGAACCATAATTACCTGTAATTATACTAAGTGCTTAACAGTCATTTTGTAAACAAATCCTGAAGCGCAAAATAAATGAAACTGATATAAATAGTGTACATTTTCTTTCAAGGGAGCATGGAGTAACTTTTATTTGTAAGTTTTACCTTTACAGCTATTACTTATACTGTGGTATTAGCCTAAATAATATTAATTTACATATATATACGATAATGGAGAAAATCATAGATATTTTGTATTTCCTTTATGGGTACGACATACTGTAGAATTTTAATAAACTGAGATGGCTTCCAAAAATTAAGGAATGCTCAATAGAGTGAGACAATATTTCACGCCACATATGGAATGGCATATACATATGGAATACCGTTCTCACTAATGGGCAGGAGCGCCACAGTACCAACTCCTTCCGTTAGACCGCATTAAGATTCGGGCGGCTCGAATCATTGATGATCAGCGCCTTACTATCCGACTCAACCCACTGAAACTGCGTAAACTCTTTCGAATCAACTTTCAGCAGCAGTAATTCCGAACCAATATGACATCATAACCTTCAAGAAAAGAGCATATTCCTTCTTAAAGGGCCGGCAGCACACCTGCAATGCTGGTGTTGTGAGTAATCATGGGTGGCGGTAGTCACTTACCATCAGATGAGTCGCATACTCGTTGGCCTCTGTGTTGTAAAACGTAAAACTCAAATATTAAATTACAAGACTATAATCAATCTGTTTCCTTGCTTGAGTTTAAAATTCAAAATTTCAAAATATCAATTGATAGAAATAATACTTAATGAGATACTTAAGTTTTTTTAATTGATAAATGTCAAATGATGTAATCCTGTCTACGTTACTAGTGTACGCCGGTACCTAGTACATAATCGCATTCTATCGATTGAAATCCTTTTTATGTTTATAATATAAATGTGATCGAAACGGTATCACTTAGGACTTAAAGTTACATAATCAGATCTTTCATCGTTGTGATCAAGATTTGCTGTATTGCTAACAATGCTAATATATATATTATGATATGGACAAAGACATATTATGCATAGATTCAATTCCTATATTCGTAAACATAAGGAGAATACCAATGGTGATCTGTTGATTAACTGATTTAATTTGTTACATTTCACTTAATAACCATCAATGACTTCACGCACCATTATTAAAAAGCACACCGAAACTCGTATAATACAAATGCAAGGACGACTTTAAAGTACATGATTACATTAATATTAGGTCCTTACATATGAAATTGGTATTTTGTACGGGAGGAATATAAAATGTATTTTTTTTTTTTTTGTAAAATATATTTAATAATTCAAAGTATGCACCGTTGTTATCTATGCACTTTTGCCATCTCATAGGTAGTTCATTGAGGCCTTTACTAAAAAAAAACTATGGGGGTGAGAATCAATAACCTCTTTGAAGGCGGTTTGGACTACCGCATCGGAGTTGATATTTTTTCCTTTTAAGAAGTTGTCCAAATTTCGGAAAAATGGTAATCTGTTGGAGCAAGGTCCGGGGAGTACGGTGGATGTTCAGACAGACAGACATTCCAATTGTAGCTCATGTAACTTATTGGTTGTTTGTTGTGCAGTGTGTGGTCTTGCGTTGTCGTGAAGCAACAGTGCCCTAAAGCGATTGACCAATCTCGGTTGTTTAGCAGCTAGTTCTTTCTTCATGGTTTGCAGTTGCTGATAATAGATATCTGCCGTAATCGTTTAGCCAAATTTTAGAAACCTATAGAGAACGACACTGGCGCTAATCCACCAAACACTCACAATTAACTTTTTCTGTAGCCATGTTTCGAAGTAAAAAGTCATTCCATTTTTAAATTACAGGACAGATATAAGTTTACATAGTCATTTATCTGGGCGCAAAACACGATAGATATGTATTTTCATACAACTTATGCCGGCCGCTGCCCGCATGTATCTGGCCAGTACGGCAATTTTGATTTATCTCAAAGAAGATTGTCAAAATAATGCTCACATTTCCAAGCATGTTTGAGTAAATTCAACATTTGATTGACTATGTTTTTTTTTTTATTCTTCTTAGAATAGCAAACAAGCTGACGGCCCACCTGATGGAAAGTGGTAACCATCGCCTATAGACATGAGCAGTACCATAGACATAACTAAGTATACTGTTTCACTCATGATACCCCCCATACGTTGCCATTCCTGAGGACTCAGGTGTTATTCCTCAGTACCCTGTAAATTCACGCCATATCCCACCCTTCAAACCGAAACACAGCCATGCAAACACAACTGCTTCACGGTAGAAATACGAATGGGACAGAGGTACCCAAGCAATCGACTTTTGTACAAAGTCTCCTTCTGGTAACTGTTTTGTAACGAAATAAAATTTAATTTTACAATATTGTTTTATTACCCTACTTTGGCAATGTCCGCCCCAAAGAGACGTCCGTCTTAAATATTTTTTACAAGGTCCTTAAATATCCTAAAACATATATATATAAGATAAAAAAAAATATGATTTTTTTTTCTGCCAAATTAAGGGTTAACTATTTTATTTTTAAATTAAATAGTCTATTTTAATCTCTTTACAAGATTGTCACCTACCCCATATGTTGTTATAAGTCTATCTGCAATTTTACAAGAATCTAGATTAACTGTATCTTTATTAACAGATTTTTCTTATGATGTAGATGGATAAGGTTCAATCTAAGAACAAGAAATTATATAGAAGGAATGATAAAATAAAAGCTGTAAATAATATGGTTGCCTCCTTTCTTCTTATGCAAATATAATTAATAAAAAGAGAATGAAAGATACATCATCAGTTGCTATTTTTTTCATTTCATAGCAGGCTAGTGTATAGAAAAAGTGTATGTAAAGTTTTTGTTCATTTACATTACTAGATTATATATTCGACACGGTTTATATAGAAAGTATGGAAGTTTTATTTTATCTAGTGACACCTATCAGAGAGTATATGTTATAGTCTCTCTAATCTGTGTACATGCAAAGAGTATATAACCTCTTTAGACATAGTCTCACTACTCTGTGATTTCTCTACATGTTATTTACTCTATGTTCTTCTAGTAAGGCATTTTATTTTATTATTTACATTAGTACATAATTATAATAATTACTTCTTGTATTTATTAAAGAAGTTTAATTCTCAGTATAAAATAGTCCTACTTGAGTAAGTTTTACTTGTACTGTTTTTGAACCTGTGAAAATCATTCATTTGGAGCGCCTTGACTAACATAATTTAACTGCGGATTTTTAGGGGAAAAGGGATTGTTAGTAATGGAGACTGAGAATCCCATTGCTAGCAATATACCCAACCAGGTCGACCTCCTCGCGGTTCTCCTTAGAAACTATCATGATTAATTTCTGATGAATTCATCATGATGAGCTAACTGGCCTGTTTTCATTCTCATCTATCACCCTTCACTGGTGCTCCGCCAGCGTATCCCGTTAGCGCAGGCGGGGTTACCATACCATTTTCAACGATTAAAAAAATACTTAAATACCATACTTTACAATTCATTAATTGCTCAAGCGCTGTAAGATTTTGCTATTTTTGTACCCTGTATATGGTTATAAATTTCCTGTTCTTTAATGATTATATTATGCTTTTTTCCTTTGCTTAAAAATGAATAAGAGTTGTCACACATTGTTATTACACGAAATTAAATATGTGTATATTTTTAAGTAATAATTTGCGTTATTGTTCAGGTTTTGTTAACAAAATGGGAGACAAATCGACTCCATTATTAGCTGTACTACAACTACTTCGTAAATATAATCTAAAGGTACTTATATATATTTTGCTCTATTATTATTTTTTATACTGCCAGTTTATAGTATATTTGCAATACCATTTTATTTACAATTTCAGGGCACTGAAGAAATCCTTAGAAAAGAAGCCAGTTTAGGTGATGCAGAGTATGAAAATTTGGACTTGCCAGAAGTAGAATTAGCTAGTATATTGACAGCACATCATACTGAAAGTGACCCATACAGTTATGAATTTGCATATGAAAGTTTAAAAAAATTTATTGAAAACTCTTTAGATATTTATAAGGTAACTGAGTGTATACCATACCATATCATACGGTAATTGTCCATTGCTGAAGATAGGCCTCCCTGTAATAGAGGGTTATGTTAGTAGTTACCACACTTGGCAGGCAAGTTGGCAACCATAGATAGAACCTTCTTACGTCAACCACAGGAAAGTAACGAATGGCTTATTTTATGTCGGAACCACACGGTGATTACCAAATTTATTCTTATGAATATTCTATTTCTCAAAATGAAGTTAGTTTGTATTTAAAATGCTGTAGGTTTTACTTCCAGGTACAGTAAAAACAAAAAATGAAAGCATTAATTAGAATTAACCATAGGCTAAAAATAACCTTTGTTTAGGTTAAGCCCAAAGTCTAATTGTAATCCATGCATCTCTACTCATATAAATTTAATATTGTCATGTCATCCCATATTCAATGTCATTCCCTAAAACTAAAACACTGTCTCTATTGTCAGAGTTTACACTATATGTAAATGTTCCTGTCTGATGGGCAGGCGTTGACAAATCAGTCCACTGACTGTAAATAACTTACCTGCATTGTTTTTTATTACTTGGGGTTTTGTGTTAATACATTACATACTAATATAAATTGTTATTTTATGACTAATTAAATGTGCCATAAATTCTTACTCTAGGTGTTGAGTAATAAATTTATTTTTTCATTTATATTTACTTGTTACATCTTTTTCAGTATGAGTTGTCTACACTCCTGTATCCCATATTTGTTCACATGTATATGGTATTGATTCTCTATGAACACACCACACATGCTGCAAATTTTTTAGAGAAGTTTGGCCCAGAACAAGAGGACTATTATCAGGAAGATCTGAAGAAATTCTCCATAGTAAAAAATAAAGATCAAATAAAGGGCAATGAATTAGCAGAAATATATAGGTTAGTTATATATTTTTTTTTTATTCTAATCATTTTTCTAAATTGTTTTTGTTTTCTGCCTTTGGCTAAGTATGTATAATCAAATGATAATAATAATTTATCAAATGCTAGTTATAATTGGGCTAACAACATTTTTTTTATCTATAATATGAATACAATATTCTCAATATTGGTCATAACTATAAAAATATAACCAGGTTGCCTAAACTACTCTCTTATTTCCTCTTATACTATCTCTTATTTTCTTCTGCTTCAATAGTATTTATAAATTTTTGGTTTCCATAGATTTCATTGTCACTTGTTAAATAATATTTTAAACTGTGCAATAATTATAAATGATATTATATATATTTACAGTTCAAACAAATTTGTAGTGCAATTATCTCGAGATGCATCATCTCAGCTCAAACGATTCTTACATGAACAAAAAACAACTGTAATTATTAACATCATAAATAATCACATACAAATTGAAGTACATGATGGGCCTGGGAGATCTCTGGCGCAAATCCGTGCTACTGCAGGAGGAATGCTCGGAGAAGCTACTAGAAATGGTGAGCTACTTTCTTATTAATAAAAAATACCATATTGCCGCTGTTTTATCCGTGCGAAATCCTAGTCTTTTATGTCATGGAAATTGAAAAAAAATTTCTTAGTTCATGCATAAAAGGAAACTTAGATTATTATTTATTAACAAGTCAGTCAGACAAATTTTTTTGCAGTATATTAATTCAGACATAAACTGTGCAGTTTACAAGCCTTATTTGTGTACTTTTCAATTGATTATTGCAGAAAATCGTACCAAAGTCTATTATGGTTTACTAAAAGAACCTGATATACAACTTCCTCCGGTTCCTGTCGAAGATGAAGAGGAAACTGAGGAAACACCTGACAAACCAAAAAAGAAGAAGGCTAAAAAGGATAATATCTTTATGAAGAAACCAAAATCTGATCCCAATGCTCCACCTAGTGACAGAATCCCACTGCCTGAAATGTATGTACTTAATACCGTAATCACATTTTTTTATATACCTGTTTCTTTATTCATTATTTTCTTAAATAAAAATTTAATAATTTAATCATAAAATTCTACTAATCGTGAATTTCGACGGCGCTCAGCCGTGATTAGCAGATACACTATTCAATAATTATTTAATATTATGTAGGTACATTTTCCTATTAAAATTTGTTATAAATTTAATAACTATTATAATTCATTTATATGCAAGAATAAAGTACATTTTACAGATGTTATATCAAAATAAAATTATTGTTTAATATTATTCTGCTATTATGTAGGTGTGCAATTATTAAAAAAAAAATTATAACTTTTATTATATTATAATCTTAAACATACACATTTACCGTAATATATGTAACCACTTAGTTTCACATTCACACAGCTATTTTAAAGTGTATTTTATATTAATAAACTAGGAAAGAGACTGATAAATTAGAAAAAGGAAAAGCACTGAGGGAAGCATCAAAACGTGTCCATTTGGGCCCTGATAGTCTGCCATCCATTTGTTTCTACACATTACTTAACAGTGGCCATACAGCGATATGTGCGGACATTTGCGATGACTCAACTTTGCTCGCAGTTGGATTTAATAATTCTACAATAAAGGTACATGACGTATATAACATAATTATATTTTTTTTTCATAATTGTTACTATATGTCTTATAACATTGGTACATTTTAATCTTTATGTTACTGTGTTTTACTTGAATTGTTTAATTGTCATTTTTATGTTTCTGGTAAAATAAATAGTTAAATAAATAAATACTACTTATATATACTATAATTATAAATTAAAAAACTAGTTTTTCTCTGACTCTATTTACTAAAGTCCAAATAAAAATTTATTTCAATCCATTAAATGTTAAAAGTGTTTATTGATTGTTTACATTTCAACATAAACTTTGCGATTTCAGGTTTGGACTCTGACACCGGTAAAACTACGCGGTATGAAATCTGCTGAAAAATTGCAAGATATTGACAGAGAAGCAGGTTTGTTGGTCACTCTTGTTTACATTTTTTCTTATAAAGACCTAGTTTACCTTGTAAAGTTGTCAGTATGAAATGTCATAATAAATATCTAAATAAGCATAATAACGGGGGAAAGGGATTGTTAGTAATGAGGTTAAATAGCCCCATTGCTAGTAATATACCCTCTCAGGTCGACCTCCACGCGGTTTCTTCTGGAAACCATCATGGTTAATTCTTGTTTGGAATTCATCATGGTGGGCCAACTGACCTGCATTCATTTTCACCTATCATCTTCCACTGATGCCTCGTCGGTGTATACCGATAGCGCGGGCGGGGTTACCATTCCATTTTCACCCATTAAAAAAAAAATAAGCATAATAACGTAAGGGGCCCATTTTACACTTGTATATTTTATAATGTAGATAGGACCTAATACTTGCTGCGCTAGTAACTACGCATGACCGGGATAATAAATAGGTGTAAATGAAACATAGTAATTGATAAAAATGTAACATAACCTGTATACCTACTTAGTATTTATGTTTCAAATGTTTTATTTAATTAATTAGGTAACCGTAGAATATATTAGAAAACTATTATTTAAATATGTATCTTTGTATCATTAAAATTTTATTATTATTATATATATTTATATTTTCCAGGTGACGTCCTCGTAAGAATGATGGAAGAAAAAGACAGAGACACATGTCGTACACTCTTTGGACATTCCGGACCTGTCTACAAAGTCGCATTCGATCCTTTTAAAAATCTGTTACTTTCGTGTTCGGAAGATTCGACAGGTATTGCATTGTAACATTTTACCTTCAAACATACATCTAACCCATCTCTATGTTGTGTAACCCCATCAACACAATATTGATTTTTTTATAAGACCTGTTAAACAAACTATCAACTGCTATCCTGTCCCTGCAATGGAATAATAATACTTAGTTTTGGGGGGAAAGGAATTGTTAGTAATTAGATTTAAAAACTTCATTGCTAGGATCCTATCAGGTCGACCTCCACGCGGTTTCCCCTGGAAACCATAGTGGTTAATTCTTATTCAAGTGGTCACTATGGACCAACTGACCTGTCATCATCCTCACCTGTCGCCCTCCACTGGCGTCAACGTATACAGATAGTGTAGGCGGGATTACCATTCCATCTTCACCCTTAAAAAAAACTTAGTTTTATAATATTAATTTATGTCTTTTGCGGGGTTGAGTAACAATCAAATATCGTCGTCGCAATCTCCTGTCAAGTTGTTTCATTATTGTTAATTCAGAGAAGACATTCTTTTTTATTTTATAATCTATTCAAAAATGAGTGCAGTATATTGTTAAAAAATCGCTGTTTTATGAAGTCATACCTATGGTGACATCCTTCAACCGACTTCAAAAAGGATATGCTACGCAATATCCTCGCCAATTTGGAATCGATATTCGTTTTTTTTTTTTGCAATAGATAATATTCCCATTTTTTTTCAATGAAAATGGAATGGTGTTTTCGCCTATGCTAGCAGTGTACAATGGCGGGGCAACAACTAACCCATTATGGCGAATTTGCTAGAAATCAACTACAATAATTTCAGAGCGACTACATGAAGCTCGACCTGACATGATATAGTCAGAAAGAAAATGTAATCCCATTTTGTCTCATATTCATTTTATAATCAATCACTATTTTTACTGCAGATCAAAATCTTATAACGCGTTGGTCCCATACGGATTTGGTTAGTGAATCAGGATGATTTTCTCTATAAAATAAAATTTTATGATGAATTTGTACATGTATGAAATATAACTTAACCACTGCAAACAATAATTTATTATTAAGAAGAAAATCCTATTATTTTAATAGGATTTAATTAATACTACCACTTTTTATTGATTAATTTAATTAACGAACTCCAGTCCGCTTGTGGTCGCTGCAATGCTGGACATGCTTGGTGGTATACCGCGGGCACGTGTGGCCTGTATGGGCGGTCCGTTGGTCACCACACGGACACTATTTCGCATCAGCTGGACACGACCGCGCCGCGCGTCTCTGGGCCACCGATCACCATCAGCCTCTCAGAATATTCGCTGGTCACCTTTCTGACGTTGACGTAAGTTTCACTTTAACTAAATATTAAATTACCTAAATGACATAAATAACAGTGGTAGTACACCAGTAGTTCGCATTGCTAACAATACCTTCCCCACCACTACAATGCTCATTATCATCGGGGACCTTCGAGTACAGTCGTATATCAAACAACTAGTGGAAAATCGTCAATAGACATATTTTGGTTTCACATTAGAAAAACAAAATGCTGGACGTTACTAGCTCATTTTATCTTAAATATATAAATTAGCGAAAACATCAATAGATTGGTTATTTATCTAGAAGAATAGTACTGATAATCGATGGGGGTAAAAGTTTCTCAAGGAAAGACCCTATACACGCAAAAGCAGAGCCTTCAATGAAGCAATAACCTGAAATGTGTTACATAAATGAATGGATATTGCAGATAACGTACGACCACTGTGGTAATCTATAGGCGAATCTTATGTTCAGCAGTAAATACTGAAATGAAATGTAGACTATATTTTTTAAGCATCCCACAACAAAGAATTATGTTACGAGAGTTTTAAAATCTATTTTATTATCTTTTTAAATAAGAAAAGATTTATGTAATTAATCATATCTGAAAAATCTCTGGTTATAGTATTAAAATTAAGTTTATGATAAAGTAAAATACACAATTATAAAATTTCTTTTCAGTGTGTTCAATTTCACCCTAATTCGAATTATATTGCAACGGGCTCCAGTGACAGAACTATACGCGTCTGGGATTGTTTGACCGGAACTCAAGTTCGAATTATGACAGGGCATAAGGTAACCCGTTACTTTGTTTTTTAAACATTTTTTTAAATATTATCTTAACCTTTACCCGCAGGGGAAAGGGTTTGTTAGTAATGGAGACTGAGAATCCCATTGCTAGCCCAACCAGGTCGACCTCCTGGCAGTTCTCCCTGGAAACTATCATGGTTAATTTCTGATGAATTCATCATGATAGGCTAACTGGCCTGTTTTCATTCTTATCTATCACCCTTCACTGGTATTCCGCCAGCGTATCCCGTTAGCGCAGGCGGGGTTACCATACCATTTCCACCCATAAAAAAAAACCTTTACCCGCAGCTTTGATAGCGTGCTGTTTTTATGTCCCTCAATAGATTCTTGATTTCTGTGCAATCAATATTTTACCTGCAGACGTTAAAATATCACATTAATTCAACAATTCTTTCCCTTTACTTGAAACCTTCTGTCCCGATTTCAATATACCGTATGTTTATAATAATTTCTATTTCGATAAGATTTTACAAAAATAGAAACAAATTGAAATTTAGACAGTAGGGCTGTTACGTCAGCTGGTTTCTTATTTTTACAGTTAATCTACCCTAACACAGAATACAGGACGAAAGGATTGTTAGCAATGGAATTTGACAGCTCCATTGCTAGCAATGTACCTTATTAGGTTGACCTCCACGTTGTTCCCCTGGAAACCGTCGTGAACAATTCTTGTTGAATTAATCACGACGGGCTAACTGACCTGCTTCATTCTCACCTATCATCTCTCACTAGTGCCCCACCAGTGTATATCGATAACGCAGGCAGGGTTATCATTCCATTATCACCCATGAAAAAATAAAATACACACAATACATACTAAGAGGTATAAGAGATAAAAAGAATCACTGCCAGCCACAAAGTAAATAATAGTACCACTACATTACTCGTGGTTAATTTTAGAATCAAGCCTAATACATTTTGTAAATAATGCCTCATATAAAAGTCGGCACAAATTTTTCGGAAATTTTATGATTCAACATGTAATCTTAATTTTTTCAGTCTCCAATATTTGTTTTGTCATTTTCCGTCTGTGGAAGATGGCTGGCGTCTGGGGGTGGTGGCGGTGAACTGATGATTTGGGATATTTCGACCGGATTGCCAGCTGCAACGTTGCCGCCCGCGCACACAGCACCTATTCACGCATTGGCTTTCAGTCGCGATGGAACTATTTTATCAACTGGTATAAAATTTTTTGATGGGTCCTTAATTACCTTAGGCACTTACCTACGCCCTGCAACCAACCTGAATCCATATCTATCCCGTCCACTGCCTTTTCTCTTATTATAAGATTGTATAGTTTGAATGGATTTAATTTAAAATAAAAAAAATAATCTATTTAAACTCTAAATACATCTATGCAGATACAACCTTTATTTATTTATTCTTTTTGTAAATTATGCAAAAGGCCTTTCTATGACTTGTTTATTTTACTAGCAATCGGTATGGTAGATGTTTGCACTATTATACATCTAAACTATTGGTTTAAATGTTTACATACACACACACATAATTTACACACATACATTCTGCATAATCCCGTTGCACCAGTTCCGTCCCGTTGTAACTAGTGTAAGCGGTTTAACTTTCTAAATACTAGGACTCTTTAATCGTTTTTATTACAAACTCCGTCTCATCCTGGTCAAGCTTATTTTTAGCTAGACTTGTCATAACTGCAATTAGATTATGGAACACACTTCCTCATGAAATTAGAAATAGCTCAATCATTGGGATTTTCATATCGAGTCCGAAAGAATTATATCTTTCACAACACTAATCTACGTATATACTCGTATTATATTTGTGTATTAACTATGAATAAACTGCCAATTTATCTCACATTAGGTTTGCTTAAAAAATCTTTCTTAGAAGTAAGCTCGCTCTTGTGCACTATTCTGTTTAATTTAAACTCATTTATTTTTCTACAGGATCTTTGGATTGCAGTATTAAACTATGGGACTTCACCGCTATAACTGAAGAAGTATCTGGAGAAGAAATAGGAAACAACAGTACTGTACAAAAAGATGATAGGTTCTTGCTACGTTCCTTTCCAACTAAAAACTCACCCATAAAAGACTTACATTTTACACGTCGTAATCTCCTATTAGGCGTAGGTTCATATGAAGGAAGTTCATAAATAACATTTATTCTCGCGTTATTCATGCCAACATTGGGGTCGCTTCTGAGGTGCCATATCTCTAACGTTAAAATTTCAATTTAATATCACAGCGATTTCTTTACTGTAAGGACCAATATGAACTAATTTTTTAATATATTTAAATCAAAACTAGTATAATTTTAGGGTAAGAGATAAATATAAAGAAATGGCAACTGAGTATCGGCCCTATTATCAACAATATATAAGTGTAATGGTAATAAATAAATAACATAAATAAGTACTAGTTTTTTTTTTTTATCATTTCAAAAGTTTATTAGAGGTAATGTTTAAAATAATAAATATATTTTTATTACTATTATTACCACCCTTAACATACCTTAAATTCTGTGGAACATTTTTAATAGTTACATTTAAGCATTTAGCTTTAAGATAATTTCTTTTTTTTTTTTATTAAATATGGCATTGAAATTACAATACATGAGGTATGTCTTGGGCAATATAGCGCAATCTATGATGTCAATGACTGATCTGTTTATAGGTAACCACTTAACATTAGGTGAGTCAACAGCTTGTTTGCCATCCCATGTTACATATATATATATATATATATATATATATATATATATATATATATATATATATATATATATATATATATATATATATATATATATATATATATATATATATATATATATATATATATGTAACATGGGATGGCAAACAAGCTGTTGACTCACCTAATGTTAAGTGGTTACCTATAAACAGATCAGTCATTGACATCATAGATTGCGCTATATTGCCCAAGACATACCTCATGTATTGTAATTTATCAGTCCAAAATGAAACCCTTTATTAAGGCACCTAGTCATGACGACAAAAGTTAATATGTACCTGTTATGAACGAAATTTTTACCCAGCATTAGAATATTGATATGATGATGTGCTACTACTAAAGGCATAGAAACAAAAAATTAAGACAAAAAAATGCAAATAAATAATAGATACCTGTGAATAATTACAGTACAAATAAACTAAAATTTTAATTTTTAAACTTTTTAATTATATTTGAAGCAAATAAGGTCGTTCAGATGTTATGAACTGTATCATCAAATTGAGTAAAGATTCATTACTTCTGGCTACTTGAGCTTTCATAGCTTGTTTGAAATCTTCTTTAACCCCTTTATCAGCACCACGTGTTCCAATCCTTCTTTGACCAAGGTGTTGCTGAGAATTTGGCAATATGTCCAATGCAATATTATTTCCATGCTCATTCCAAATGAAACTAAGTTCTTCCAATATATCTATATGTATAATATATGCTGAAAATAAATGATAATGGAATACACCTTTCTGTCTAATCATATCTAATATCTGAAGAAATATTGCTTCCTCTTGTGGCCAACCCAATTGAATTAATACCAATATATGGCCAATAGTTAAATCAGAATTATTTCCAGTACTCAAGAGAATTCTTATAAGTAAAGTGCAGAAATAGTGCATTATGGCCACTTTTGTCATGGGCATAAAGTGCAAATGTCTATGTTTACCACCAACTATCAAATCTGATTCCAATACTCCTTCTACTGATGGTAACTGTGGTAAAGCTGCTAATATGTTTTCAATACAAGCTGAATATTTCTTTTGAGAATAATTTATAGAAACTCGTACAATACAAGCAGAAAGGTTAGTTGAAGTAGGCGGTGGTGCCATTTCCTCATACTGTCCTCTGTAAAGAGCCAATTCATCAACAAAACCTTCTGACCAAGGTTTAACTTGCAACTGATTAACTAGTTTTGTAAATTCCCGTGAAATAACCTCATCACTATGTAATAGTTCCCAACAATTAGCAGCTGCTTGAAATTGATGTGCTGATACACCTGTAACTTCTACATCACCTTTTCTTCTTTTGGATGGAGGCAAATCTGGATCTGACAGTGCTTCTATTAAAATATGATTGCCTTTCAGAGATCTTTGTTCATGAAGTGATCTTAAAAATAATGTCACACCACAATACAATAACTGACGACAGTCTTCACAGTTTCGTAATGTTATTAACTTCTGAAAATAAGTTTCTTTATTTAAGCTATTATTATAATTAATGAGAAAAGGATCCCATCCCAACTGTCTTCCCAGCAGGTCTAATACTCCATAAAGTCTCTGCCAAGGATCTGTTATGTCATGTTCCGTTTCATCATATACATAAGAATTGTAAAAATCAATAGCTTTTACTAATAAACGTTGAAGAAGTCTTGGTGATTCCAAAGAACTCAGCAAAGGCAATGTCTCCACAACTAATAAACGTGTATAACGATTATCATAGAAAAACTTTTCAGAATTTATCAACGTTTTAACAAGACTGTCCACACCTAACTGTGGAAATTTCTTCAATAATAAAACTAGCAACCTACAATGCTCCATTGTATCATCACTATTTTCAACACTAGTTTTTAAAATAGTTAGTTGGATATCAGGAACAATGTTATCAAACATTTGACTTAGGAAATTAATATCAGTCGATTTAAGAGCATTTGCTATGGCCGATATTTCTGGTAATAAATCAGACATATTCTGCCTTGACAACATTAGAGAACTGAAACATTCTGCTGCTTCTTGGACGTTACCAGATTGCTTTTCCATCAGATACGCCTCAAACTGTATTTTGAAATTGGAAGGAAATAATGTTTTTGCTGTCAACATCCATGCTTTTGCCGAATGAATATTGTACTTTTGGGCTTCCTTAGCTCTTGTAATGATGTAATCTTCATCAGATAACGAAGCGTCTATTGCCGGCATTATTTTAGCAGGTATACCTGTTGAATAAATACACTTTTGAATAACCACTATTTTTATTAGTATACAAACTAAAAATACGTAAATATACTAACAGACTTGTAATTAAATTTATTATAACCAGGCCTGCGCCACTTGAAACAAAATTTTTGTATTAGGAAACTGTGTTCTATTATAGCGAATCATGGTCATCTACAAAAATAGAACTTTATTATAAATAAATACAAAAAAAAAATATTAAAACCGAACTAATTTTATTATTATATATTTTGATAAGTTATGTAGTAATTAGCAAATATATATATATATATATATATATATATATATATATATATATATATATATATATATATATATATATATATATATATATATATATATATATATATATATATATATATATATATATATATATATATATATATATATATATATAAATTTCCAAAATCCATTAGTGCTTTTCCTATTATAGTTTCTTACTATTTATCGGTATGAATTCAATTTTAATTATAAGTATTGATAAATTATGAAGGTAAATAGTACTAAAATTATATACGAATTATTAGTTATTCCATTTGCAATACGCGATTTTTTATTAAATTGTCAGCTTTTAAAATAAGAACAATATTAATCATATTATATGTAATAATAATTCTAATATGCAATACAGACCTATGTTTTTTATATGTACCTACATAAAGGTGAATACATAATTTTTAAGTATATATAAATATATTTTTTCTTTCAGATGCTGTTTATCTTGTTACTATACATATAATTATTAATTAATGCGTCAGAGAAAATTTGCATTACTGACCTATTAAAATATTACAAAATAAAATCTACAAAAATAAAATGAATTAATTAAATGTAAATATTTTTTTCATTGTAAGAAATAGCTAAGTCTTTTACGGTCAGAACTAATACAGATATTTTTAGATAGAAGCCTATACAGATAGTTCCACAAAACTGCGAATATACAATTTATTTCAATGTTGTCTATTAAGAATATTATATTTCATTATCCAAATTTTAAAGATATAAGGTAAGTGTCAACTCTTATAACATAGTGATTACTGCTCTGTGATCAAAAACTACGTACATGTGTCAAACTGACGTTTACAATTGAAAATTTTTTTGTCAGTGACATTGTTTTCGCCAAAGTAACAATAAATAAATAAATGTCAGTGACATTGATATTTTCTTTCAAAAAGATAATCAAATGTCTACTTGCGGTAATTTCAGTTTGTAATTAGTGATAAACCGAGTTAAACATTACTTGATTATAAAAAATACTCATAAAAAATTACATCCTGACATGAGGTTATCCTGACGTGATTCTGACAAGAAAGCGAGTACACTCCTCAACATCATCGCCCGAGGCATGCACTCTTGGACCCCGACGATCCATTACGATAGCCAACGTGCTCCCCACCCTCCCTACCGCGGAATCTTCGCTGAGAGCCCCTGCAAATACACCCGCACATCGCACACACCGTCCTCGTCAAAAAATTACCCAAATTTTCTAAGGTCTGCTGCGCTGTGAGCCAACTAGCAAAAAAAAAACGTCTATCACGCGTATTTAAGTAGCAGCACAGATAATATAATACTATACTAGGTAGTAGGACGGTGGGATGAACTATTAGGTGCTACGGTCAAGATTCAAGCGAAGTTTTGAAAACGCATGCCTGTTAATACATATAGGTGTCTTTTTAAAGAACCAAATTTTTTTCTCCAATCCGGAAAATTATCTTAAATACGCCAATGACTTACTTTTAATAAAATTAACATAATGTACTATTTACATTGTAATATTTCATTTAATAATTAAGGAAATTTAAACAATTATAATCACGAAAATGAATCTTACTATAAATAGACGAGTACTGAAATGTGTACCACGAATTACATACTGAAATTAATTTTGTATAAGAGTACTTGAATACTTAAGATTAAATTATTTGAATCTTAAGTGCCTACTCGAGTACTTCTATAATTATCGAATACTTATGTATTCAGGTAGCTTGAAACGGTTTTTTTAATAGGTGAAAATGGTAACCCTTCCTACGCCGCCTCCCCTACCCTCCTACAGGTCAGTTAGCCCATCGTGACGAATTAACAATAAATTAGTCCAGATAGTTTCCAGGGGGAACCGCGTGTAGGTCGACCTGATAGGATACATTAATAGCAATGGGAACTAACCTCCTCATTACTAACAATCCCTTCCCCCAGCTAGCTAGCATTAGTGTAGTACAAAAAAAAAGTAGTCTCAAGACTACCTTTTTTTCTAGTCTCTCTGTTTCTGAATTAGTCTGTACTTTTACTTCAAATCCGTCAGAACTAAGTACCTGTTTTGTTTTCAATAGATTTCATGTTTTCTAAATGTGGTTCTTAAAATATGTCTCCTTTTCTATTGTAGTAAATTAATATATAAACTAATAATATAAATAAAATGGATATGAGGACTTTCAATGAACTAGCGTTATACGATGACTACGCGATTGCAGAACTTGTTCCTGACCATATTCTCGAAAATATTTTTTCATATCTCAATCTGAGAGATCTTTTAAATTGTTCTTTGGTGTGCAAGAGCTGGTATAGAATTCTTAGTGACGAAAATAATGATGTGTGGAGATTACATTGCATTAAAAGATTAGCTGAAGAAGTACTGAAATCTGATTTACTTTCAACAATAACTACTTACAAGTCTAAACTGAGAGCATTTTTTCACGCTTGGAATCCACATGATTGCTCAAGAAATATATATGTTAAGCCAAACGGATTCACGTTACACAGGTTTAAATTGCTATAGTAACAATATAATAATTGCAGTAAATTTTAGTAAAGTATGGATGTATAGCATTTTATAACAGTTAAATCAGTTTATCACTTTATGAATTTACTGGCTTTTACACACGATTTTGTCCCCATGGCTGTATGTACACTGACCACGTTTAAAAGTACTCCATGCCCTTCTCCATCTCACATATCCATCTTAGCACCTTAATCAATCACTGAAATTTGGTATATATCTATATTCCCAATTTCAGTGATTCATTAAGACACTAAGGCATAACAAACAACCTTACTTTTATATTTTAATATTATAAGCCTTTATCGGGAATAAAAAGTAGCTTATATTCTCTATTTATATAGTACCTGTATATCTAATTACATAGTGATCAGTTAACTAGTTAAAGCATTAAGAGGTAACAAACAAACTATGAAACTGTCACATGAAATTTATTAGGATTAAAAATATTATAATGATGTATTGGCACTATTTTAATACTGAATGTTAGGAATAAAATTAAAAAGTGATCACATTAATATATGACACTAGTTTATTTTTCCACTACACACTAGTTTATTTACAGATATCCAAATTATAGCAATGAAGTTAATTCTGAGGTAATATTTCTCTAAACCTATCTTTCAATGGATGTTTGATAGTGTTGCAAATTTACTATTTTATAAACCATCATACCTTATATTTATTAGAAATATAACTGAAATTGGAATAAACATTTTGTTGTGACTCAAATTGAAATTTTATGTTTAAAAATAAGGTTAGAGAAATTAACCTCAGAGTTGACCCCAATCTCTGCTTATCTGTCAATTTTCAAACATAAAAGAGGCTTTATATTATCTTCATATTGTTCTATTTTTTAGAACAATATGAAGTTTTTTGTTTATAGAAAATAAATAATATTAGAAGTGGTCATCCTGACTATAGTTATTCTGCTGATTCTGAATAATTTGATCATGCCATTATCTTCCAGAGTTCAAGGTTATACAAGTTTGATTTAACTCAAAAAAAAATTATCCTATTTAAAAAAACATTGTGTATTGCAGAAATCCTGTAGCACAAAGTACTGATGCTTGTAGAGGAAAAATTGGATTTTATCATGGCCGCCATGCTTGGGAAGTAATATGGGAAGGGCCTTTAGGCACAGTGGCTGTAGTTGGCATATCAACAAAAGATGCTCCTCTCCAATGTCAAGGATATGTTGGATTACTTGGCTCAGATGAACAAAGTTGGGGATGGAATTTAGTTGATAACCACTTATTACATAATGGGGATACACAAGGGCACTATCCACTTCTAAATAACTGCCCTAAATACCAAGTAAGGATTTATTATTTGTTATTTATATATACACCAGGAGTTTTAAATTACATAAAAAGATTTAGTGGCACATGCGGGAAAGGTACACTAATGAATATGTGTAATTGAATATTTTGTATTTTCAAATATAACCAAGATATTTAATGTTGTTTTGTAGCGAAAGTCCTGATAAATGTATGGCTACATAACACAATTTACTATGAATCTACGCTATGAAAGCGGGTAATGTTACTATCCGGCTGCAAGGCGCGAATGCATCTTGTACTACTTACGTACCTAGTACCTATGCCTACGCGGTAAATAGACATAAAACTACTACATAAGACTACATAAAAAAGAAGTAAGAAAAAAATACTTGTGTAAAATAAACTAAAATACTTTATTTTAGCATTCAAACTTTCCCTTCATACTTAACTGGGCTTAGGACCTGCAGAATTATTTTATTAATACATGGAATAGAAATCAAAGAAAATAATTAGGGCGTATTTGAAAAGTTTTAATCAGCTATTTACAGTGATTAAGATTAGAATTAAGTACAACCGACTAGGAGAGTGTCTACTTACAGTCTACAGATATTTCAATGATTGTTTGAAATGTCCGCTTCCGTTGTCGATACACTCACGCGCACGTTTTATTAAATTGATTTTTAAAGACAATAATATCGTTCTTTGTTGTTTAATTTCATCAAAAGCGTCTATTATTCACTGTTTCAATATTGCACTGAAATTTATTATTTGTCAAAAACACAAAGTTACAAACACATATATTTATGTGTTTATTTTTTTCTTGCATATATTGTATCGGTATCGAGTGTACAAAATTTTTTTATGGTAATTAAAAACTATTAGTGTATATGGGACTACTCACACTTATTCAGCTCCATTCGCGTTTCGCTGAACGATGTTGGTCACGCTTATACAGCTCTGCTTCTATCAGCCGCGTACGGCGTCGTAAGAATGAGAAAAGCCGTCATAGCATGTTATCTTCGCTGAAACGTTTGTCTACTGCGTACGGCTGCATTTCGTAAAAATAAAATAATTATACTTATTATAAAATACGTTCTGCACTCTTTAATCCTTGTGTGCATAACGATTACGCAATAATAAATCAAATCAATGCAGAAACAACGGTCGCAACTTGTCGACAAGGAGTCGCGAAACATCCCTGTAAAGAGCTGTTTCGCCGCGTTCGACGGTGAATGCGACGGAACAGCGCTGAACGTTCTCTATAGCATCCGCATGATAAATACACATTTATCTTCATTTTATACTGGATTGCCGCGAAAGCAAGATAGACGTGGAAAACTGAATCATCCATTCAATTCGTACACATCTCCATACAAAATCGTTGTTTTCTGTGTACAAATGCTGAATAGAGCTGAATAAGTGTGTGTAGTCTCTATATATATTTTGTTTGATATAAAGATAAAAATTTTAAGTAATCTGAAACAAATTATTTTAAACTTTGACTGTCTAGTTTGGCTATTTGGCCAAGTCTAGCCAAGTAAGGTTCATCTTGACCAAAGTTTCCTAGTTTGGTCACTTAAATCGAGTTTAGTATAGTTTAATTTAATGTATTTAAGTTTGGCCAAATTTGATCATGTTTGGGCAAGTATGGTATAGTTTGGTTTAATTTTTTTTTTCATCTTGAATTTAAATTAATCATTAATTTTTATAATATACAATATCAAAAAGTCAATAATCTATATCGCCTAAATAAAATATTTGCATTCAAAACTTTATAAAAATTCAAAAAATGACAATTTTTTAAATTTGAAAGACAATTTTTTTTAGAAAAAACATTCATATCGAAAACGTGAAAACAGAAATACTAAAATTCAGAATTTCCTTTTGATGTCTGTTAAAATATATGTTACAACCCTGCAATGAAAGTGGCATGACAACATTTCTATGATAAAGATCCTTTCACTGTGCTATAATTATAATATTAGCACAGTGTGTTTGTTACCTCATGATGCCTTTATAGTTTAATCAACTGTCACAAAATTTAATAAACAATATTTCTTATGGAGAAGGAAGGCTTTTTCTCCTTAAAAAAGTAGTTGATTAATTTTTACCCATTATTGTTTTGGATGCTCCTTTTCTATAGTGTATTTATTGATATCGGCTTATTGTTATTGTGCATATTGTTACACACATTGTTTTTAAACATTGTACGTAGCTAAACTTTCACCTCATTTAATACCATTATACCTATAATTTGCAGGTCGGTGAGCGAATTAGGGTGATATTGGATTGTGAAGATAACACCTTATCATTTGAAAGAAATTATGAATTTTTAGGAGTTGCATTCAAAGGTAACAAATGATAAAATTATTTATACTTATTATAATAAAACTAATAACCCTTTGCTCGAATGGGTTTCTTACAGAAAATATAAAATAGCCTATGTTATTCAGAGGAGTTGTAGCTTTCGATAAAATTAGTTGAGTAGTTTTTGAGCTAAATCATAATAAACAAAAAATCAATCGTCTTTCCCCGTTATACAAAATATAACGCGTACGAGTAGTTTGGCGTGCACAAACATATAGACAGATGGACAAATTTTCTAAAAATTATTGTTTTGGCATCTATTTAAAATTTCGCATATTAATTTTTTATTAAACATCTCCCATATACAGACATCGTCTAGTTACAATTTTACTCATATTACTAGATAAAATAATATTACAATACTATACATACTATTTTATAATTATTTCAGGCCTTCCAAATAAGAAATTATATCCTACGGTGTCTGCTGTATATGGAAATACTGAAGTATCTATGGTTTATCTGGGCCCACCAGTGGATGGCTGATAGTAAATGGTGTCTAGAAAAATGTCAATTTCTAGTCCAAAACTCAGTGATACTGATAGATAATGTTATTTATTCTAAAGCTTTTAATTTCTTTTGTAATAGCACTTTTGTGTACTATGGAGATAAAGTATATTATAAAAGAAGTTTAACTGCTTAGTGATGGTTAATTGTTAAGAACAAATGACATAATCAGACTGATCAGCTAAATTTTTTGTTGGCTGTGGTTTAATTGTATCTAGGTACTTATTATTTTTATTATTATTTTAAAATCTTATATATACACTATTATTACAATGGTTTTAATGTATTTTTGTTTATAACATAAACTTTAGGTATGTTATCTATACATAGGAAAACATTTCTTACATGTTATATAATTAAAATTATTTTTATTATTGTCACAGTAAGTTCTTATACATACCCATTTTAAAATATTTCTTTTGAAACTTTATTTTTATTTCACTGTGATTAATCTGATAAAAAGATTATAATCCTATTAATATTATAAATGTGGAAATTTGTGAAGATGTTTGTATGTTTATTATTTTATCACACTAAAATGGTTGAACGGATTTATATGAAATTTGTACACGGGTAGGTTATATCCGAACTTAAAACACAGGATACTTTATATACTTTACACGGGCAAAGTCGTGGGAAACAGCTAGTTGTTATATAAAATTTACATAATCTCACATTCCTCTGAGGTAAGAAGAAAGTATATCGACATCTCGATTACTAGTAGATTTACACCCTTATCCGTTACTTTTGTATTATTGATGAACTTCATGTCAACTTTCTGTTAATTTTCATCTAAATATGTTCAGTGCTTTGGCCTAATACTAATCATGTGATATACCTTCCAAAATATGGAGAAATCCACAATCAATTAATGTATTGAATAATATTACATTCCGATACCATCAGTACTTGTTAGACGTCTTCTGCTTACTTGCAGTTACACCAGGAAAAATTCTCTTAGATGGCAAATTTTACTATCTTTTCGTAAAGTATAACAGAGCTATAATAGATGCTAATTTTGTGTTGTAATTATGCTTTAATGAAAATTAAGAGTTATTTGCAGATAAAAGTTATAAGATAAAAATTTTTACAAGTAACACTACATACGTTTTACACCTGAAGATATAAAAAAGTGCCTATGCACCTGGTATATACTAATGTATCTTGCATTGTTAAAATACCAGAGATAGCTCGTCAATCTACACGTAGTGTTAGGTTAATTGTAATATTTATTAATCTTTTGTTTTGTTGATGATATTTTTATAGCTTATTCCTGTTTGTAAATATATTTACATTATTCTAAGTACATAAGTTCTAACACTTGCTACTGTTAATCATGTGGATGTGGCCTCTTCTGACGTTATTTAAACCGTTTGTTTAATGATATAATAGATAACAAAAACAGATTCATGGGTCTAATGTAATTTTATTATTCAATTATAATAACAAGCATACGTAACAGTAATAAACTCTAGTTTCGTATTACAAAAGCTATTTATTGCTTCGATAGGAAATTCCCTGTTGCACTAAATCTTTCAGAATATACAATCTTGACATTTTGTAAATAATAACTTTTTTTATCGGAATAGATATACTTATGGATTGGTCCCATAGAATTTTTTTATCAAAATCGATTCAATAGTTCTTAAAATAATTAGTTTTGTTACAATTGAAGTCTGTTTTTTTTGTGGGACACCATCTTTAGTTATGGGCTTAAATTTTCTTTAGAAACTGAAATATGTAAAATAAATTAGTTTCCGATGAACCTAATTTAGAATAAAAAATTGACACAATTTACTATTATTTAGATACCAATCGGGGTCAGTTGTATTATATATAATTTTGTGTAGAATTTGTTATTTTTACGAAACTACTTGTACCCGCAATAAAATGAAGATTTTTACTAAATTTACAGTTTAATTTTGTCCTGTCGGGTGGTATCGTTACGTTATGCACTTACGCAAGAATTAAGCACTACCTAATTGTTACTATATTACAGAAATATTAAGTTGTCTAAGTATTATGTTTTAGAATAAGTGAGGAATATTTTTGCAAATGCTATACGATATACTTGTAATTTTTATTATACAAGCAAATATAATTTATGCTGAGGTTCTAAATATCTGTGTAGCTAAAAAAATATTAGTCATCGTATTAAAATGAATCAAAGAATTAAAATGATATACGGTGTAATTTGTAAAACGTTAAATTTGACATGATGATTAGCATTTGCACAGATTGGATCTAAAAACATCCAAAATTATATTTTCTTTCTTTCATTGTGACATTTGGGGTAAATTGTTTCATAAATAATTGCTTGTACCTATAAATTTCGGCTTCTCATATCGAGAGTAGGCATAAAAAATAAAATTATAATAAGTAAATTATGGCATTTGTATTTGCTATTGAGCAGCATTTAGTTTATCTGTTTTATTTAGTATATCTAAAAATATTCTCTAGACAGTTTTATAAAAATTTTATTTCACTGGTTTCAACATTGAATTCTGAATAAGGAGTTCTTTTATTAATAAAAATACATAGACACTGCGAATTTTAATTGCGCATTTTTTCCATTGTTGTAGAACGTGGTAAGGCCCGTTTCAATAATCCTATTATAAATGCGAAAGTTTGGAGGAATTTATGGATGGATGTTTATTACTCTTTCATACAAAAACTACATAACGGATTTGTATGAAATACGGTTAGATTACATCCTAACTTAGCACACAGGATATTTTATGTACTTATTGACTTACCCGAGATACAGCTAGTCTAACTATTAACTCATAAACCTTGGTCATCAGGAATAACAAAGCATGAAAACTACCATTAGTATCGCAGAGTATTTTATAGTGTCCATGATGCTGTTCATGTCCATAGGCGACGATTACCACTTTCCATGAAGTGGACCGTCAGTTTGTTTGCCATTCTAAGTTGTATAATAAAAACTATATGAAGCTACACGCGCTATTGAAAATAATTTTAAATACGTCTGCAGAAACCTAAAAAACTAGAAAGTTAGATAATTAGTGGTCTGAGACTGGTAAAATAAGGAACCTCTACTTATTCTTATTTCAATATAAAACAATTCTACAGGCCTTTAATTAAATAATGTTATATCAAACACTGTTTCAACCATAGACATACCAAACATACAATATAAGGTTTCAAAATAGAAGGCTGTTTTAGAGCAAAAAGGCAAAGCAAAATATAATAAAACACATTTAGTTATTTATTTTTTATTTCAGTAATTTAAGACAATATTCAAGGCTATTTCTTTACAGATTTAATTTTCATAACGAGTCAAGTTATAGGTATATAAATGAATATTATTATGGTATTATTCTCTGTAAGCGTACAATTATTTTAAAAATCAATGTTGTTATATTATTAACATTTAAAAATAAATTTAAATTAAATAAAGCGGTAGTGCAAATGACGACAGCACTGACTCCGCGGTAAACATGTGGAATTATATTCCGCATATTTGGAATATTTTTTTAATCGCAAAAATATTACAATATGATGCTCATATTTTATATAAATATCCGATTACTAGGTGATTTGGCTCTACATATTATGTTCGTTTACTAATGAATATTTACTATGGACACGGCTCAGTATTACTGTGTACATACATACAGGCTATAGGTACTTACTAAGCGCACGTGTAATACAGAATCATCCGTTACTATTTACTTGTGTTAATTATATTTACTTGCCCTAATATATAGCTGTTTTCTGCATGAGAAGCTTCAAATATTAATTTGGAAAATGTAAAGTTCCTACAGCTGCTGGTTCCTGGATGGAGGATTTAAACCCATGTCTTGCAGCGACTAATATTTAAGGTTTCCAAATATGATCACGTATGTTCGGTAACAGTCTTGTACTTTATACACATAAAACCTATAGAGGTGTAATCTGGCAAGGTCGACATCACATATTATGATTTCCAACATATTAAATAAACATGACCCTGCCAGAAAATAAACTTATGACACTTTTCTGAATAAATACATATTAGCCCCAGTTGCTTTCTATCATATTGGTTAGTAAAAAGTATGGTCTCTGATAGTGCTTACTATCGGGCTTAGTAGATGCATTATAACATATTTATGAATTACATAGATCAAACTAAGCACACGACTTTTCACAAGTGATCTTATATTTGGTGAATAGAGAATAGATAATTAAAAATAATTAGGATTTTAACATAGACTTTCTTATAATATGACCGCTAACGTGTGTGTCCCTCCTGATAGTTTATCTAAAATATTCTATCATTTACAATGCTAGTGGCAGGCAAGAACATTTGAAAGTGGCTTGTTTTTGAAAAGTATGTACACTTTGTGGCACGTGTGCAAATGTACGTATTACGAATACTATCCGGAGCAGTGGACCGTGAAATGGCGCCGTATAGGAGTATGGATTAAAATCAACAGATTATTAGATCAAACTACGTCGATTTTTTGTGAATAAGTATTATAAGATAATCTAAGTATATTTACATAATTATATTAGTGAATATACAAACAGTAGATAGGTCAAAACGTTTGTTTTTCAAACAAGATAACAAATCACTTATTTCATATACCTAGGTAGATAGGTAACTAGGAAATAGTATGTCAATATTTATTAAGTAAGCAATAACTTCTTATTTGTCCAATAATTCTTTTAATCGTGTACACAAACAGTAAGACATTATATTGTATTATGAAGTATCTAAAGAAATTCAAAATGATGAATTTATTTTAAAATCTACCCATGTGATACTTTTACATGCAGTACTTTATTTAAATATTATTGACGCCTATATAGTGTACTCATATAGGCAGCCTGTATTTGTATAAGTGGAACGACTCATAAAACACAAAAATTATTTATGTAATATACCGTTAATATATAATTACACTCCAGTAAGACCTGTTTACGATCCAGGCCTAGTAAAATACGAATAAGTTATGCCCAATCAGGGCTGTAGGAATCCTTTGAAAGTACAATATAATAATTATAGCTATAGATGGTATTCTATTTTCACATAAAATAAAACACCTGCAAAGATAATACAAACTGAAATATTTTTACACATAAAATATTTTTCAATTTTAACATTGCATATGAAATCCGTATACGTAAATTCATACAATAAATAGAGTATTACGCAGGTTTATTATATAACACTTGTTTTAAAAAGCAATGAAAAATTTAGAGTATTTGAATTTTAGTTCAAAACTGCGAGATAATTTGACAAAACTGCATATAGGGACACTACTTCGGTCAGATAGCACTTTGCTAGTTATAGAAAATATTTTAGTTTCACTGATAGAACACTCCCTTGAAAAGATGCCAACAATATTGGGTTCACCTATATACATGAAATGACATTTAGGTACGTACCCAGCTAGGTGATTAGATTGTTCTTTCAAATTATCGGTAATGTCAAATAATCTATTATACAATTAATTATGCAGATATTTTATAGTCAACAGTACGTCCAACAGTAGGTTAGTCGTTAAATCTGATAGTCTAAGCATAGGACAAGTATAAATACGAATAATAAGAATAATAGAGATAAAACTGCTATCCAGTATCAGAGTGGACAGTAAATTTAAGCGATTACCGATTATTCAAAAACATTAACACATTTATTTCCAAGGTGGGGTCCGGCCCCTAATAAAACGCATATGTACTCAGACATGTCGTTGCGTATATATGAAAGCTCACCATAGGTCCTTAGGTGGCCAATAGACAATTCTTATTTGACCATAGTGTTAGTCCTATTTTAAATTTGTTTACAATCGAAGTTGACGTTTTTATTCGTGGAGCAAAAAAACTGCTTTTGCAAAACGAAATATACGTAATTACAAGTTGTGCCGCGTGTGGCGCGAAACTTTTTATGATTAAACCTTGCAACTTGTCGAATCTCCGATATGCGGTCAAATGACTATGCGTTAATATAATAATACATTTTTAGTTGTTCTATTTACTTCATGTAAGCGGTATAAATATTAATTAAGTTAGGCCAGGTCACAGCAGGTCCCAATATAAAGGCGAAGTCACAATGGCCACACTTCCTTGCTGTTTTGGTTTAAAGCGACATTATGGAAATTATTTTGTTATAAAATATGTAATAAGAATTCGTAATTACAAATAAATTAATTCAATAATTATTAACACACGGTGCATTTGTTAATTTTCATAAAAAAAAATGTAGTCCTTTTTTCTTACTGCATCGAAAGAAACTTTGTCTATTAAAATATTCTTCCAAGCAAGTAAAATAATTAGGTAGATATTAATTATAGTGTTTATAAAATAGGTATTTATCTTATTTGGTAAACAAATTTGGCATGTTTTTAACGAAATTAGTAATTTAATATGAAATATAGACACAAAAATAATAATGCATAATGTAAAAACCATTATATTCTAGCCATTTTTTTTAAATTTTATTGATCGTTGTTTCAGTTAAAAAGAAACATGTCAATTTGTTTAACGAATAAGTAACAAAAATATAATAGCAGGCACTAAACAATGTGGCTGTACAATTACTTTTATTAGAAATGCAATTATTATGGTTACTACCATGCCTTTCATTAATTTACATAAATATTCATTTTTATATATAAATCATACGTACAGTTATAATTACCTAATAGTGAATTTCTATATAAAAACATTTAATAAGACTACTTTAATTGACGAAATGTTTTTTTTTTTCACTACAAAAACAAGTTCTTACTGTATTTGTTATAATGTAAAATAATGGTTTTAATTGTACTTACCTATGTAACTAAATACAATTAAATACAGTGGCTATTTGTTATCGATTGAGATCCGATCAATGTGTAAATTACACAGATCGATACTTAAGTCCGAATAAAGTTTTCAATTATCTACAGGGATGATTTTTACAAGTAGATAGGTAGGTATACGGCCACTTTTATTTCTTGAATTTATACATATTTCTGCCCTAATTACATCATTTACAATATTCAAACAATGTTATAAATATTATTCGATTATTAGATCGAATATAATTTAGAAATCGATCGACAGATAACTTTCCAGTACAATAAACTACAGTAAAATTACAAAAATAACGACTTAAAAAAGCTTTTGAAAGTAATGAATTTGAATGACTGGTAACTAAATATTTGTATTGGCAATATATTCTGTTAGGTTGACCTTTACGCAATCAGTCTGGGAACCATAGTAATTAGTTCCTAATGAATTCAATACGGTGGGCCAAGTGACCTGACTCTTTTTTATTAATATCTGATAATGAAATACACCAGTGAGAGATGATAGTTTTTTTGTATACCATGTGGATGGCAAACAAGCATACTGTAAGCAAGTCCATCTGATGGTAAATGGTCACTGCAGCCGCATGGACGTCCGCAACACTAGAGGTGTAACATGAGCGTTGCCGACCCTAAAGAAATCTTAATACACCTTTCTTGAGGATCCCCATACTGTAGTCTCTAAAGAAAACTGGACAGAAAGCTCATAGCCAGGGCGTTCGCTAGAGAAAACTTTTCTTAAATCGCACTGTACGCA